GTGAGTGAAGAGTCTGAGAAGAGAATAACCATGCATCAACTCGGTAGGCCCAGTATCATCAGAAGCTCCATGTAAGAGGGAGCAGAAGTGTCTGAGAAAGAGAGTGAGGCATGTCTACATAAGCAGAGAGGACAGGGGCTGAAACAGACTGAGAAACAGAAGCAGAGAGGGCCAGATCTGAGTGCTGTGGGGCCGTCTCTGAAGACAGGGAAGGGCTGCTAGCGAAGGAGCACAGGCAGCCTCTCCCGGCCATGTCCGGCAAGGTGTTGGGAGGGCTCAGGGATGTGCTCATATCTGTGGTCTCCCCACCTTCTCTGTGCAGACTGGGACTGATGGTGACCGCTGTGGGTGTGGACACGGCCACTGTCCCCTGTGCAGAGAGGACTTCTGCTCACAGCTCTCCACTCTTTCATTACCTCAGCACCCTCTCTGGGTACCTGAAACTCGAGGATTCTTCCTGGTTCATCCTAGCTTCTTCCTGGGTCTGTGACTACTCTGGGGTATAGAGGAGCATCCAGAGCAGTAGCTGGCAATAGCTACAAGTCATAAAGGGCACGATCAACACCCCGCAGAGTGGGGACAGTCCGGAAAATGGGCAGGGATGCAACTGCTTCCTCAGGCAGCACTCAGGCCTGTGGCGCTAGTTCCTTGCTGTGTCGGCCCGCTTCTTCCGCCCTTTACTGTACCTAAGTGCTTGTTGTTATGGCTTCTGTCTAGATGTCCCCCAAAGCCTCATGTACTCAGAGGTGAGGCCTTTCAAAGGTGACTGGATTACGGGGCGCTATAGCTGCCTTGGTGTCAGAGGCAGGGTCACTGCTGTGTGACAAGGAAGGTGCATCCCCCTTCCTGGCTCCTCCCTTCTTTCTCTGCTTCCTGGTGCCCACAGTGAGAGCAGCTTTCCCCAGCCAGTCCTTCCACCATGCCTTCCTGCCTTGGAGCCAGACAACTATGGACTAAAAACTCAAGCAAAATAAATTCTCCTTGTTTAATTTGTTGGTGTTGAGTACTGAGTCCCAGCAACAAGAAAGTAACTAAGGGGCCAGGGATTTAGCTCAGTGGTTTCGCTGCCTGCTGTGCAAGCGCAAGGACCCGAGTTCGATCCCCAGCACCAAAAAAAAAAAAAAAAAAGAGAAAGTAACTAAGACACTTACTTATCCAAACTGGTGTCTGGGACCACATATGGTCGGAGGGAGGCAAGGCTTAGGCAGCTAACAAACTCAAGAAATTAAAAATGGACTAAGCCAACGTCTGATGGCCTTAACAAAGCCCAACTTAAAGCAGCACATGCGACCTTGAAGATCGACAGGTGATGAGACTGAGGCTGAGCTGAAACAACTGTGCCACAGTTCCCGGCAGAGAGCTAAGAATGAAAAGTACGCTCCCTGTTTCCCAGCCCTGTAATGAGTCATAGAGGGCACCTCCATGATCGTTCATTGCGAAGATGAGAAAACAGAACCCGGTTATCTTCTGAGATGATAATAATAACAACCCTCAGTGATCTCTCATCTTCAAAGAACACAGAGTCCACTAAAACAGAGCTCAGTGGGAAGCAGGCTTTGGGCCCATTACAGCTGCCAGGAGAGGATGTGGAGAGAGGTGAAGGGCCAGAGAAACTCTACTGGGGGAAATGCTTTCCCAGGAAGGGCATAATGAAAAGGTAGCAGCCTTAGCGGAGGTATTTATAGCCAGACAACAAAGGGATGCCTGCGGGGCCACCCTCTGGGCCGCAGCAAAGGCATCTCAGCCATGGGGAAGATCAAGAGCCCATGTCTGTTTGCTTGGAACACGTCCGGCCCTCACCGGACAATGAGAGAACACCTGCCTGGCCAGTTACCCTGGAGGAGAAAAGTAGAGAAAGAAAGTCGAAAGAATTAACACTATATCAAATTACAAAAATACATTTTAAAAAGTTATCGTTTGATCAGGATGTAGACAGGTCTAGCTGGATACACAGAACACCTTCATAGATCCAATACTGGATCTGAGACTCTCTTAATCTCTTTGGGAAGAAGGGGATCAGTTAGATTCCCTGTCTGGATCCAGTCGCCTACCAGGAGAGATGATGAGCTGCCCCTGGGCTTTCCTGGCAACTAGCCAGGAGGCTGGGACACTGGAAGGCTGTTCTGGAAGAGGAGAACCCTGGCCCAGAGGCCTGTGAAGCCCCAGGTTGGCCTGGGCACTGTGGGCCCGCTGTGTCCAGGTCATTCAGGCTCGAGCCAGGCCTGAATTCCAGAATCTCAGCTAACAGGAGTTCACTCCCCATGGCCTGGCCCTCTGGGAGCTGCTCTGACTTCCCAGAAAATATGTTTTTAGAAGTCTGTTAAGGTACTGTCCTCAAGGCTGGGAGAGCGACATGGCTCAATCCTCTTAGTTCTGCAGTCCAAAGGTTCCACTTCCCTGAGTACAGAGAGCTGAGAGGAGGAGAGAGTCCTCACATCTAAGAGATGGGTAAAATCCATGGTCGTGCAGGGTCATACTCCAGCTGAATACAGAAGCTTGAGCCATCTGAAGCTCCAGATGCATTTGGAATCAATGAAAATGGTCCCTGCCATCTACACGGATGCACAAAGCCTTCAGAGGGAGGCGTCCCCATTCCAAGCCTTATTCCTTGCCCAGCCTACAGAGTTGCTTTCCCTCCCAGCCATGTTGCGAGGATGAAAGTCGCTGCAGACGGGGAACGAGGCCTAGACCCCAAGAAGGCCTGTGAAGAAGCCTTCACCACAGGCAAAACTCCTGCCACTCCTCAGACCCTGCTCGATCCACAGGTCAGCTACCAGCATGGTGCCCACCCCAGGGGCCTCAGGAGACGGTGCCGAGGGAAGGCATATGAACACAAAGACAAGGTGAATCCAGGATGAAACATCTGAACTTACAGAACAGGTGGAGAACGAACATCCCTCACAGAAAATGGTTCTCACAGACAGACAGGACACAAGGGAGAGGGGCAGAGGCTATCAATAGGCAACTTGAAAAAATATAGATGGCCAAGAGGTCCACAAAAAGATTCTCAATCTCACTAGAAAATGACAAAACACAGATTAAAATCATATAGCACTTGTACCACCATTTTAGAAAACCAATCCATCTGAAGAGAATTAGGGAAGCTCGTGAAGGGCCAGTGCTCAGTGTTATTGAGGAACCCAGTGCATTCTGGTTGGCTCCCAAGCCCTAAGAAGACTCAGGAGAGAAGCCTGCCCAGGACTCCAGAGCTCCTGGCCAACTTTTCTACCCCTTCATTCTTAAATAGCAACTCTCATTTAATGCAAGAAACTAAGCATTTGAGAAAAGCCCACATCCCGTCAAAGAAAACAGGCATATTTGCCTTTCCAACATTTCAGGAACAGAAGGAAACATGTAAGAATGGGTCCCTATCTTTCAGACACGTAGGGAAGTACTGGAGGAACCAGTGCATGGACAGAAGGGTATGATTACCGAAATGTGCTAAGTTAACACAGCAGACCCAGGGCTTGGGGACTGTGACTCAAGAATATGTATGTGGATAAGCAAGCGAGTGTTTATTATGTTAGGGTTTGGCTCACAGTGTCCCTGAAAGCTCACGTGTTGAAGGCGTGGTCCCCAGCTGACGCCACTAGGAGAAGGGGGAAGGAGTTTTAGGAACTGGGGCCTGGCGGGAGGAAGCAGTCATGGCAGTGGCCTTGAAGGGCACAATGGGACCCCATCCCTCCTCCTCTCCCTCAGTTTCTTGGCTGCCACGAGGTGAGTAGCACTGTCCCACCATGTGCTCCCTGCCAGGACACTCTGTCTCACCTCCAGCTCAAAGGCAACAGGGCCAAGTGACCATGGATCAAAAGCCTCTGAAACCTGAGCCAAACTTAAGAGCTGTGTCCCCTTTACCCAAACGTCTTATGGGACTGGAACGCACATGTGGCCTGGGATCACATCCCAGACCCAAACCTGTTGATTGAGACCTAAGGGAGGCCACACCAGGAATGGAGGGGTCATGTTTCAGGAGGAATCAGTACATCGTAACGGGCTTCATGCTGTGCAGCTGTTTTTCGCCCTGACGGAACTGTAGGGATGGATGCCATACCTGACCTGGCAGTGTCTCCCCAGCTGGGACCGTAAACCTGCCCTTCGGGCACCATCACCAGATATGCTGAATGGGAACCAGCAGACCCGTGCAGTGTGGGCTAGAAGCTGGAGTGCTGGTAGGGACAAATACTCTATGCAGTTCCCCTGTGTGGAGCACAGCCTGGGCTTATGGCAAAGGCTAACTGGTAAGCTCAGGTGACACAGGTGACAACCTGTGGGGCCCTAGGTGATTTGTGTTAGTAGGGAGGCAAGGAAGAGGAGCCTCACAAGCAGGACGATCTTTTCCCCGGGACTGACAGGGACTGCCTGGGGAGCTGCTGGATTCTGCTGTCACTAGCATCCTGTGAACAGCAGCCACTGACTGACAGAGGGCTGCCTGGTGTGTGGACAGCAGTTCCAAGGGGAGTGGATGACACCCCGAAGGCCACCACCCTGGTAAACAAATCAGCACCCTGGGCTGAGCTTCATGCTGCTTTCCTCGTGGTGATGCAGGACTGAACAGTGTCTCGGGCCCCTACATTTGGGCTCCTACATATGGGCAGGCGAAGGGCAAAGGAAACCTGGCCTAGTAAAGGGACGCCTGTGTGGGGCCTGCCCAGGGAATTTCCAAGGGCAAGTGAGGGTGCACACCAAGGCCACCAGAATACCCCAGCCCAGGTCTGGGAGGTGAGTGGATTCAAGCCCCTGGGCTTGCAGAGGGGGCCAGCTGGCCCAGGGCACAAGTGGGAGTGGGAGAGTCGCTGCAGAGCGGAGATGCCTCCCACATCCTCTGTGGCACAGAACGCCAACAGGGACTGCTCCACCCACCAGCAAGATCTGGGACTGTGTGGCAGATTCCCTGGCAGGAAGGCCCTGAACACGGTGCCCAGTCAGACTGGTGTAGGGGGCGTTGGGAGTACAGCTGGGTCCTGACAGGACAGACAGAGTCTGGTCTGGGCTTTGCTTACCCAGAAGTTGGAAATGCTCAGAGCGCCATAAAAGAACCTGAGCAAAGACAGTGTGCTGAGCTGGATGACAGTCACTTCTTCACCAAGGGACAGCAGCACATCTACAATGCCAGCACTGGGCAGAGCCTCTCCCTGGAGAAGTGGCCTGTGGAGAGCAGGGGTGGCAATTACAACTCTGTGCCAAATGGGGGTGGGGAGGAAGGGTGGTTCGTGTGCCATGCTCAGTTTGAGTGGGACCAGGGCAGCATCCCCTCCTCCAGGTAGCTCTGGCTTCTGGTGGATCTGGGGACGAGAGATGCGAGGATGCTGGTCTGACTGGTTCCTGCTGAGGGAGCAGCACCCAGCTATGACAACTGTACTTTCCTCTCCAGTCACCTCAATGCCCCAGGCCATCTGATGACCAGGGCTGTGAACACAAGCGCTGGAAGAGGATGACTCCGAAGCCAGAACTGTGCCTGTGTCTTTAGGGCTTAGGCCAGATTGCTAAGGGTGGGTGGCCAGTTACACCTCCACTCTGCCTGGGAGATGAGCTTGGTACTGCCTGCAGCTGCAGTCTGGTGGTAACGATGGCCCAGTCTTGTACCTGTGTGACCCTATCTGACCTGCCATGCCAGCCCTGCTGCCTGCAGTCTGCGCCAGCACAGTGGTGGAACCTAATGTCCCTCAAAGATGGAGACAGCTGGGTACGAGTGAAGAGAAATGTAAAGGAAAGGATAAGCGACCCACATAATGAGGGAAGTCACTTCCTTTCCTGGAAGGAAGCTCAGAGCAAGAGATGACCCTGACTCTTAGCTCAGTTATGCCCAACACCAGAAGGGCAAGGCGGTGTCTGTCGAGGCCACTCCTGCTCTGCAGCCGGACAAGAGTGGAGGGATGCTACCAATGTGGGCAGCTGGGTGACAGGACGGTGGGCTGGCCCAGTCCCTCCTGCCTGGACAGATCCTAGGAGGTGCCCGGTCTTCTCAACTATGTGAGGATGCGCTGGTTAATGACCCAAGGCTGCAGACTAGGGATGGGCTATAACAGTGAAGGCAAACCTTTTAGAGACGAGTGCTCAAACTGCAACCCAAAACTCATTGATCACTCGCAGAGTGCCAGCACTGCAATTAAACCTGAATACTGAGGTTTCAGTTTAAAAAAAACAACTGGTATCTGACTTGGCTCACATGCTGACAGTGAAGGTTCAGTGCCCACCGTGGTAGGTGTGCCATAGGCTCGCCACCACTGTACTGACATTCTGCCTGGACACAGTCACAAGCACGCCATCCCAGCTACTCAGAAGGCTGAGGAAGGAGGCTCGCTTGGGCACAGGAGTCTGAGACCAGCCTGGACAGCCTGCCAGGAGACCTTGACATGGAAAGAGAGAGAGGCAGGACAGGGGAGAGAAAAAGGAAGGAAGGGGTCAGAGAGTGAAAAAAGAAAGGGAAAGAGAGGGGGAAGGAGGGAAAGAGAGGGGAAAGATGGAAAGAAGAAATGTATTATTTGGTCTCTACCCTCTTTCCTGGAACACAACTCCCACACACCTTGGACTCTGCAGGGTAGTAAGTGGTGTCTGTCTGCTCAGGACAGGGGCCAGGGAACCAACTTGCGACTAGGCAGGGCAGTGGGGCCAAGGGTGAACCAAACACCAATGGCCAGTAACTGAATCAATCACACCCACACAGGAAGCTGCCGGAGCACCTGAAAAGAGGGTCGGGAGGCGCTGGGAGAGCAGCCCACACTCCTCCCCACATACCGCACCCCCTTACTGCTTCCTCTGGCCGTTCATCTGGATCTTCCGTGCGATCCCTTATGCTATGCTGGAAACCCACTCCAGCAAATGACTGAACCCAAGAGGGGCTGTGGGAAACAAGCTGAACTCTCTCTGGCCTGCATCTGAAGCAGGGCATCCTGGGGGCTGCACTATGAACCTGGGGGTCACGCCAGCTCCAGGTGGAGTGTGTCAGCACCGAACTGTGGGCAGGCAGGACCCTGCTGGTACTGGGGAACTGGCAGGTAAACGACGTGTTTGGTTTCCGGAGTCAAGGGTTCCAAAAGTGAGTGTTGTGAATGAAGGTCCAGAATAGGGTTTTGGTTTTACTTTTTCCTTAACAGTAACTGCAAAAGCTGCCTGCTGAGTACATAGCCCTGGAGACTCTGCTTTCTTCAGCTGTGTAAGCTGCAGACTTTTCAGTATACAGAAGAGGGGGCAGAGTGGGATACTACAGGAAAGGGAAATCAGCAAGAGCTCTTGGGTTCAAAATTTTGATCACTGCAATGAAAGTGTAAGAGTTGGAAAATGGGATACAATTCCTGGAGTGGAGGGATTTAAAAAACCCCAAAATTTTGAGGGGACTTGGAGGATAGAGGATCCCTGTGGGGGCCCAACACCTGACTAGGAGGAGGTCCCAGAAAGGCTGACAGAGACAGGACATGGGACTAGAGCAAGTGGCCAGAGGGCCTCCTAGGTCTGCAGAGCCTCTGGAAGCCAAGTGCTCACTGGAGGACTTGTACATCAGGGTGCCTAGATGTGTTACTATAGAGCTCAAGGTGGATAAGAATAATGGGATCGTTAAAGGGTTCTGGACCCAGAAAACAGCCTTGGCAAACAGATTCTCCTAGGCTGCCAAGAAGGTCTAAGAGGAGAAAGGAGGGGTGCCAGTGAGATGTGTCAGAGTGGGCAGGACACCTGAGGGAGCAGGTGCTGCTGGGGGCCGGTGACGTGGATGGAGTGGTGGGGGGCTCCACAGGAGGGGCCTGGTGGGAAGAGAGTCCTGAGTGGGGAGGTTTTCACCCGGGGCTGTTCTAAGTGGAAGGAAGCTTGTTTTCACTCCAAAGTCTAGGCTCAGTTACATATTTCTGATTAAGTATGAAAGCCTAATAAATCATTTCTTGGCCATATGAAGATTTAGATAGTTTATCTCCTGTGCATCCAAAGTTGCTCCAGAATAGCAGAACAAGGAAGTAAACCCAAGGAAGGGGATTCAGGAAACAGTGGATTCAGCCCAGGAAATAAGAAAAGCCCGGGATGGCAGCTGGGTCCCAGCCTGAAGAGCAATCTGTAGACTGTTATGCAAACAGGGAGGCTCCCAGGAGGAGGGACTCACAGCTGACAGGGAACCTCGGGGTCTGAGCACAGATAAGGATGAACAGGCAAATGGTTCCGTGGGAAAAAAAGGTAATTAGAATTTGCAGGAAAAACAAAAGCTCTAAAAACTATACAAACATAGCACTATTTGTCAGTTAGCAATTCCATCATACATAGCAGAACATGGGAAATAGGTTTTTAGTTTATAAAACCAAAAACATCAGGATGAGCACTTCATTTTCGTTACACTAACCTGAGACCTGGAAGGGAGGAAAGAGATGGTTTGGTACCATATAACAGACAGACATTGTGCACAACGGACAAACCAGAAGCTGGCACTGTAAGCCTAGCATTTCGTTTGCAGACGGATCCCCAGCAGGGTCAGATAAAGTGAGAGCTGCTTTCTCCTGCACTGCATTGCTGGTATTCAGTGTGGTGGCCCCAGGCCAGACTGCCAGGGCTTGACTCTGGGCTCTATCGCCTGCAAGTTGGATACCCCAGGAAGTTACTCGGCTTTTTCAGAACTAATTCCTCCTCTATGAATTGGAGATGATGTGTGTATTATAGAGATGTTATGTTAAAGCCAATGATCCAATCAAACATATTAAAGAATGCCTGGCATAGAAAATGTGATTAATGAAAATTTTGATCAAAAGTAATAAAAGTAAACTTAGAAAAAAACTAAGGAATGGTGAGCAAGGATATCAAAACAACTTAGACGAAAAATAAAATATGGTAAGCCTGAAGAATGAGGCTGTGCCCAACTATGCTGTCAGTGTGGATGGGTCTCGCTGCCCCTTGCCCCAGGTCCAGCAGTCAGCCAGCGACTCCCCCAGGTTCTGCCCACTTCTCAGAAAGCATCCGGGTGACTCCTGGTGCCTGCAGACTGTCCCTGTTGTGCCCCTCCCCTTTCCCTCTGCCATTGGCTAATACACCCCTGAAGGCTTGTCTCCCCCAGAAAAGATGGCTGCAGTTCAACTGGAGCAGCGCTAGGGCTCTCTCCATGTGCCACGCAGCATCCAGAGCGGGTGTGGGGGCAGCTGGCTCTCACGGCAATGGTGAAGGGTCAGCCATGACTGCACCCATGGTGGCTGGGCAAGGCCGGCACATTCCCCTGTGAGGACACTATTTCCCCTGGCAACCACACCTTGCATTTGGTACATTCTGAACAGTAGCAGCAAGATATTTGTCTGCTCTTGAAACAAGACTCTCCTACTTCTTTTCCTGGTTGATTTTTTCCCCGAGACAGGGTCTTGCTATGGTGTCCAGGTTGGGAAACAAACTTGTGCACTCAAGTGATCTTCCTGCCTCAGCCTTCTGAGTAGCTAGGCTACATACAGCACCACAGTACCAGCTCCTTATGTTATGTGATTTTATTTAGTGCTTAGAGCAGGCTTTAGTACTTTGTCTTTACTAGAAGTGCTTTAAGGATGGGAGCTGCTACCCTTTGCCTTCAAATTCCACAAGCACCTGACAGTAACATGTTAGAGTAGAAGAACCAGGAAGGCCACTAAATCTCACCCTGAGTGGGGGCCTCCAGCTCTACTCAGACAGACCCTGCAAGAAGGCGGGAGTGCCCAAGGGGACCCACACCCCCGCAGGACACAGGAGAAAAGCCCAGGGTGCTTTCTGAGGCCATGCTCCAAAAGCAGTCAAAAGTGGCACTGGGTAAGGTGGCACACACCTGTCATCCCAGCACCCGGAGAGGCTGAGGCAGGAGGAGCGCAAATTACAGCCCAGCCTGAGCAATTTAACAACTTAGCAAGATCCTGTCTCAAAATAAAAAATAAAACAGGCTGGGGATGTAGCTCAGAGCAAAGGCCCTGAGTTCAATCTCCAGTTCCTCCTCCACCCCAACCCCCACATGATAAGAAGAAAAAGTGGCGCCTGTTCTCGGTGTTCCCCCATGGTGGGAGAACTCAGGGTCCTCTATGGCGGGACATTTAATCAGTAAATCCTCACACAAGACCAAATTCCGTCTTTCTTTTATGCCTGCTTACCAGTCCTGACCTTTGGAAAGCGCAGAACAAATCTCACCTGCCACATGTTAACCTTTTAAGTGGATGGAAATAGCTACTGTGAGCCCCTTTACATCTCTTTCCAGACAGAAAGCGTAATGGTGAGGGTCTTAGGTGCTAGGATGTTAGGACAGGAAGGACATAACAAAATTCCAGCTGAAGACGATGACAGAGGTACAGAAACAGAAACAGAACCAAGAACAAACACCCCAAGCATCTGTGACTGTGACACACTGGTGCCCTGGCCCTACCGCTGCTCCTGGGGATGGCACTACAGGGGTCCTAGCCAAGGAGGCAGCCACTTAATACATTTTAATGTCCACCCCAATACAGGATCGCTGCCTTCACAGCCTTTCAAGCCATGGGAGAAGGAGTTCCTCAACAGTTTATCAAATATTCGCTCTGCATCTGCTATAAACCTATAGATCTTCTGAGGCCCTAAGAAAAATCTTGACCTCCAGGGCTGACTTCTGACTTCACCTCAGATTGTCTTCCCTGTCGGAGGTACATGTTTTGCCAGGCCCTTCCGAAGTCCCAAGAACATGGCAGAACTGTGGCCGCACTTGTCCCTACCATTCTTCATCTCCAGCATCAACACAAGGCTAAAGTCTAAGCTGAAAGAAAGACCAGTAACTGGGGTCAGCTCGGCACCCACCAAGGCATCTTTCTGTTTATCTGCCCATCTTCTCACCCCATGTCATCCTACTTCACACAGTCACTGGCCCCCAAGTCTGCCAGGCGGTGCAGGAAGGGTGCCACTCCTGGGGCTCCACACACCCCAAACCGGGCTACAGTCCTGTCTCTGAGTTCCCCAACTAGAGTTGTGGCTGGTGTAGGAAGAGGAAGGACGCAGAAGGAATCATTCTCCCCACTGGGAAGGTTGTGGCCGTGGACACTGGACCTCCTTCAGGTGGGCGAGTGGGGCAGGGAGGAGGCTGACCCAGGCCCTGCCTGCTCCCTCCCTGCCCAAGCACTGTGCAGGCTCCTGTGTGGGCTCTGTGGGCTCCTCTCAGGATCCTGCCAGTAAGTGTCCATTTGGGCCGATGTTCAAGATGGGTTTCTGTCACGGCACTGACACAGGTCCTGATGGCCAACACAGGAGCATAAGTTTGAAAGGAGGCTGGCCCACCGTCTTGGCTACTGCACACTTGAGCTAACCACCACTTACTGAGCATGTGCCAGGCATGACTCCCAGTGCTAGAAAATACAAAGCCAAAAAAGACACGATCTCCAATCTCAAAAAACCTAATCTCCTATAACCAGAGACTTAGAGAACATGATGGAGAGGACGCATGCCACCAGAAGTGACCCTACAAATCAGCAGGCTCTGACAACACAACTGAAAATGGGTCTCATCAAAACTAGATTGTCAAGATGACCAGGTTTTTAGTGCCTTTTAAATGACTGGGTAGGCCACAAGGACAGCAGAAATTAGGGGCTGGGGAGAACATCCAACACAAAAGCTAATCCACTACAACCTCAGCAGCAGCAGGAGTATGACAACTGCCCTGTCACATCTAAATATGGTCCCTGTTGATACAATGGACTCTCATGAGTTAGGAATACAGGGGAAATGATCTAAAAATCACCAGTCCCAAACTCTTACAGTACAGGAGATGGAAAGGGAGGGAAGGCTGCTGCCCGGCTGGGTCTCCCGAGACCCTTTCTAGGCTGGTCCGGAAGGACTGGACCCTCACCCTCGGCAGTATGTGTCAGATCCCAGTGCCAAGCACCCCCATCTCTACTAGACATTAGTAGGAGCCAAACAAGAGGCATTCTCCGACTTGCATCTCAGCTCAGAGTCCCACAAAGACCTGCAGGCCTGATCACAGGGCCACATCAATGAGGAAGGTGACATTTCCTTCTAACATGGCAGACAACAGTGGTGCAGGGAGCACGCATGACCGCATCTGGGATGAATAGGCCTTTTCACCACACGCTCTGCTCAGCCGCTTCGGTAGCGATAGAGGTAGCAACAAAAGACATTTATCTTTATCACCAGGAGCCTGCTCAGCAGCTGTTTCTCACTGTTCCTTGTTTTAACTTCTCTCAAGAGTGGAGTTATGTGCCCAGCAAAGCAGGTGTTTAAGGCAGGTGATTCTGTTTCCATTAATTCTGTGCAGTAATAACAGGCTGGAGTAGGAGGTTATCTCCTGTACTCCTGGGGACACCTCGCCCTGTGCTTTCGAGATCACAAGCTGTGTGCTTGGCAGGGATGTTTGCCTCTGCCCTGCTAGCTCCAGCATCTTCAAACCTCTAGTTCCAGTACTAGGCACAGGAAGCGGCACAGCCCTACCCTGCTCCTCCACACCTTGATTGTGTCTTCTTCGATAACGTGTTAGAGGTTAAACGAGGTTGGAGGTTTTAAGTTCTTACTAAAGAGCAGGCTAAGAAAAGCCTGACTACTTCAAAGCCCAGCTACATGGATGCACTAATGACAGTATCACAGGTCCATGCTTCAAGCTACCACAAGGAGAGTTTAATATAAAATATGAAAAAATGTTTTAAGAAATGTGGGGGGCTGGGGATTTAGCTCAGTGGTTCCAGCACCTGCCTTGCAAGGTCCCGAGTTTGATCCCTGGTACCAAAAAAAAAAAAGAAATGTGAAGGCTCAAGGCCCCCACCACCTCCTGTCAGCTGTAGACCCCACTTCACACTGCGGGTGAGGGGAACAGCACACTTCTCTATGAGGCCAGACTGCACGGCCCTTCCGTTACCTTCAGTGTTCTCCCACTGTGGAGCCATTTTCACCAGAAGCAAACATTCGGTGACACATTTCTTTCTCTCTATCCATGTAGTCCTTGTAATAGCTGCAGAGAGAAAGGCACAGCATCTGTTTGTAAGAGGTGACATCTGGTGGCTGGAATTCTCTGCTCAGGTACACACACATCCTGCAGGCCTTCCACCGAACCAGGAGGGATGGAAGCCACGCCACAGAGGCCAGGAGACAGGGTAGGCTCCTAAGCCTGTGGGAGAAGCCCAGGAACACACAGCCAACATCTGAAAAGACAGCAGCCATGAAGGGGGAGCCACCATCCCCGGGTCTCAGGGCCAAGCTCTGCCAAGAGAGCCTTCACACTTAGCAGCCTCTGATTTATCTGGAGATTTTCTTGCTAAGTCATGGTCAGACCCCCAAACTCTACCTCTAACCCGAGAGAATACTTTTACATTTCAGAACAGGAATTTCTGGAAAGCCCTAAAGGCCTGAAATACAACTGTGAAATACAAGGATGCATGCAATCCAGACTCACAATGCCAAGAAAGTGTCAGCCAGCAGTCTTGACCGACCATTCCGTGTGGAGAGGAGTAGAAAATCTCACCACGGCAAAACAAAACTACACCTTCAAAATCAGGGCATATCTTACTAGGCGACTCCTATTTATAGGAGAATATCTGTAAATTTTTCTATAATGAACATATAATTTCTATAATCAGAAAAATAACATTTCTAGGGCTGGGGATTTAGCTCAGTGGTTCCACCGCCTGCCTTGTAAGTGCAAGGACCTAAGTTCGATCCCTAGTACCAAAAAAACCCAAAAATTTCTTAAAGACTAGTGTCTCTAATCCTTGGGAGAGAATCAGACCTGACCAGCCTGTTTCTGATCCCAGTGGGACCCCTGGGGTACCTACATTTTGGGAAGAGTAGGTGGGTGAGAGCACTATGAATAGAGTCCGGTCAGAGGTGCAAAACCCTTTCAAGGCCACCTCTCTGGGGGCACCTGGCTGCAGGGAGGTGGGAAACGGTCAGGCATCCAGCTTGCCAGTCCTTCCCCCTCCCCACTGGGAACTACTGCATCAGGGAACTGAGCACTTGCACAAACCAGCTGGGGGGCCACCTCCCAGTGGGGTCTGGGCAATGTTCCCAGTTTGTCCTCCACCTGGGAGGATGACCAGGAACAGCCCACATCGCACGCACCCCTGGTCATGAGCCTGCCAACAGAGATCTCACCTGGAGAGTTTCTTCAGCTCATTATTGATGTCATGATTGAAGGGCTGCTCCTTCTGGGCTCGAACTAGGAAGTCCCGGGCCTGCTCATAGTTGGTCAGGAGGACACAAGCCTGTCACAAAGGGCTGAACTTTAAAGGCAGACTTAGGCCTTTATTTTGTGGTGCCACAGTTGAGCACCATGGCTTCCTTTCTGGGGTGCTTGTTCCCAAGCCCCTCTCCCAGCTCACCTGTCCACACCTGAAGAGGGCTTTGGCGTTCTTTTGGTCAATGACTAGAGCCTGCTCTCCATAGTGCAGGGCTGTGGCAGGCCGGTGCAGCTTCAGATATGCCAAGGCTAGGTTCAGGAGAATGAGGAGCTCGGTGGCCTCCACCAAGCGCTGCTCCTCAGGGGGTGCCAATCGCCGGCGCAGCAGCAACAAGGCCTGCGGAGAGGGCAGGCAGATGGTCAGGGGGAAAAACACGCAGAAAGCCCTGAAGAATTCACATGCACAAAACTATCAGGGCTAAAAACCAAGTCAGCAAGGTGGAAAGACACTAGATCAATATATAAAAGCCCCAGGGTTTCTGACAGGAAAACCATGTAGAGCCTTGGGGCTGGGGAGCAGGAGATGCACACCCTCTGCTCTCTCCAGCTCTATGGGAATAAGCAAGGCATACACCAACAGGAGCAAGGACACAGGAAGGGCACCACCCACCCCAGCACATGGGTGTGGACTGCGTGGGGTGACAAGGCTCGAGGAGATGGGCAGCGACAGAACTAGAAGTGGAGCCATTGGAAAGAACAGGTCCAACGTTCCCTTTGGTCTCGCTGTGTCCAGATGCCTGCAGTTCAGGAGTTAGGGCTCTATTTCTGGAGAGATGGAAGCAAAGTGGCTCCTGAATCAGGGACAGGATGGAGCAGCCTCTGCCCTGCTGTCCTACTTGCCCCAGAGAGCCACAGCCAGGCGTCCACATTGGGCGAGAGACGCAGGCTGAGGTCACCCATGCAGTGCTTGTGTGGCCACCATTGGAACACGCTGCAACCTGCCCTGCCAGGCCCTTGGGGTGCCCAAGCAACTTTCTGATGCCCCTTCCAAATTTCAGCAGTCGACCAAAGATCACCAGCCTCTGTGGACAAGGGCTCCTGTCTCCCAGCAGCTGTCCTCCCTTCTCCACAGTAACCAGGTTTCCTTGCTAGAAATGCATCCATCCAGGACATGGGTATGTGCTAGCCTCTGGCAGCTAGGGACGGCCAGGGTGAGTTCTAGAGAGTGAGGCTCAGTATTCGAGTATGCAGCAAGAACCTTCCTCCAGGGTGAGCTGCGCACTCTCAGCCCTTCCCTCCCTTCTGCTGCCTAGAACTCAGAGACCACAGCCTGGACAGCAGGCCCTGGCACAGGAGCAAGGAGTGTGGGGACCCGACACTGAGGAGCAGAGCACCCCAGCCCTAGCCTGCATCCCTCTAGCCTGCTACCAAGAGAAACCACTGTCTCTATGTCACCGTTGCTCCCAGCCTTTGGGAGTTGCCACCCAACTATGCAATTCTTCAGTGCACAGAAAACCAAAGAGAACTGAGACTTTAAATAAGGGGATTCCGAGAAAACTTGAAAAAGTAACCAAGTCTAAAGAGATAAGAAAATGTATGCATAAAATAAAAACAGAATGCCAGAAAAAAGAAATGAAATAAAAAGCACTTGAAATTTTAAAAAATTTTTCTCCTTTTTTCTTTTGAGATGGGGTCTTGCTGTGGCACCCCAGCTGGTCTCGGACTCATGGGCTCAAGCTTTCCTCCCACCTCAGTCCCTGAGTAGCTGGGCTGTGTGCCTTGCTTGGAAAAAAATGTTTTAAGTGAAAAATTCATTAGAAGAGATGGTAAAAATGGTCAGGAAAAGCTCCTAGAGAGTAGGGGGCAAAGAGAGAAAGATGGCAATGGGGAGGGAGTTAAAAAGAAAGGACAACTCAAGGTAAGGAGGCTGATAATAATTAATAAAAGTTTCATAAAAAGAGACCAGAGGAGAGACGGGGTAAATTATCAAAGAAATAGTTTAAGTTTCCCAGAACCGAGGAAGAATTTGCTGGAAAAAAAAGATGTAGCAAGGGCTCAACAGGACAAATTTTAAAATGCACATGCATGCATGCACACACAGCTGTAAAATGTAAGCACACCAGGGAAAAAGATCCCAAAGTCTCTACAGAGAAAAATAAGGCCACTTACACAGCAACCTCAATGGTATCAGACTTCTTTGTAGGTGTGTGTGTGGGGAGGGAGGGTACTGAGGATTGAACCCAGAGGTGTTCTACCACTGAGTTACATCTTCTGCCCTTTTTAAAAAAACTTTTGAGGCAGGGTATTGCTAATTTTCCCAGGCTGGGCTTGAACTTCAGATCGTCCTGCCTCAGCCTCCGAAGTAGCTAGAATTACAGGCATCCACCACTGTGTCTGGCAGTATCAGGCTTCTTAATAGTAATTCTAGAAGTATAAAAACTAAGAATTTTTTAGACATACAATGATATTCTCTATCAAAGTAGAGGAATATATTGAGAAAAACAGCAGGAAACCCTCAAATGACGGACACCCCAGGACGAGAGATGTGTAAGCAGGCCAAAGAGGCCCCGGTGGGAATGACCCCAGGACTCCTGGATGAGAGGCCAGGCCTCACGGAAAGGCGCACTAAAGGGGCTTTCTAGCTGGGGGTGGTAGTGCACACCTGTAATCCCAGCACTCTGGGAGGCTGATGCAAGTTCAAGTCCAGTCTAGACAACTTAGATTCTGTCTTTAAAATAAATAAATAAATAAAAAGATCTTGGAATGTAGCTCAGTGTGAAGGCCCTGGGTTAAATTCCCAGCAATGCAAAGAAAGTGTTTGTATGGGGGCTTTCCCTTCTTGTAGCAAAGTTTAGGAAGAAATAGCAAAAGGCAGAGAAAAAACTAAGCAACCAAGAGGCAATGTAAGGGGCAAAAAGGGATACTGCACAAGAAAAAGTATGAAGTGTAGGAAACTACTTAGCTCAAGCAGGACGTAATATTTATACAACCTTAATAATGCAAAACTGAGTATCAACTTTTAAAATGATGGCACACCAATACTGGGAAAACAGAAGTGAGAGTGAGACCTAAAGCCTCACCTTCCATAATGAGAAACCAAAAATGTCAGAAAAGAGCAAGGCTGAGTAGGGAGAGAAGAGCAGATGCAATCAGAGACTCGGGAAGGAGAGCGAGGGGTTTCAGGGCTAGCCAGCTGGCTCTCCGGAAGTCTCATGACTGACAGGATCCATGACTGAACCTCACCCCTCGCCAAACCTGTGCCTTGCAAGTTGAGGAATTGATTCTGTCGCCTCCGAAGAGGTGGCAAACGCATTCGCTCTCCTGTCTCCCTCTGGAGCACACTGACGCTAAGTCAAACGTGGCATCTGTTGTTACCCAGTATCTGTTTTCCCCTTCTGACAGAATGCTCATTTCTGCCAAACAGCACTGTACTAATTCAGAAGACTGTACTTGGAGCGGGGGTACAGCCTGACAGTGGAAGACCTGCCCAGCATGAACAGATTCTGGGTCCAACCACAGCACCGCAAAAACCAATCCAAACCAAACCTTCTCATTTCCCAGCTTCCCGCACAGCTAAGGGGGTTCCTAGAACACGGGTCTGCCAATGAGATGTAAAGTGGGGCACTTTTGGAAAGTTGTACACACTACATACAACACATACGCATATGCGCGTGCGCACACACACACACCAGGCTCTGCTTCCCTCCCTTCTTTCAGCCCACATGACTCTGTGATGCTGAAGACTGAGTGACCTTGGGGGAAAAGGAAAACACCATTGAAGGACTTCGGCAGCGAAGCAGACAGAAAGGAAGCAAGCTCCCCGAGGGCAGTGTGGAGCTGCTGTACCAGCCCTGCACAGCCTCATTTTGCAATTCCCTTCTGTGAAAAAAACTGTTACTTTCAGCAGGGGGCGAATCCTGAAGAGCTTATGCCTAGTGCACAAATAAGACCAAGCCAAAGTGCTTCTGCTCTGTTCACCTGTGCACACTGGAGCACAGTTGGGGACACTGAAAGTGCTCTTGAATTACAAAGGACACAGAAAAGGGCTATCAGCATGACGTGTACCGGGAGTGTCACAGAAGCCTGGCAACACCAGAAAAACCCAGACTGAGACCAACCTCTCCCATCTGAGGCACCTGAAATGTAGGTAGCAGATGGTGTGGAGAATTAGTGGGTGGTGGACCAAACCCTGGGAAGATTATTTTTTAATTAGTGAATTTTATTTTTTAGAGCACTGGGACAGAAACTTTTTAAACTTCTAACTAAAGTATATATTCATACAGGTTAAGTGCACTGCTCAGTTAACTTTCACAACCAAAACACACCAGTGTAACCCCACCCAGATGAACCCCTCAATGTCACCACGCTTCTCCCCAGCTCCGACTCCCCTTCCTAGTCGCTGCCTCTCTGGCATGAGGAACTCTCTTTAGTGGGATTTTCCTTAAGGACTGCCCAGGGAAGAGTCTGGTTTTTGAGCAAGGTAGTTCTCAGGATCCGTACTTAACGCTCAATGCACTCTTACCCGTTTATACCTCACTTTGGCATCATAGAAGCGCTTCTGGCGGAAAAGGTAGTTGCCAAGCTCCTTCTCAGTCGTTGCCACTTTGAGGACTTTTTGAAGTGGAAACTGGTCTTGTTGCTCCTGAGGACCAAAGACAGAAATACCCAGGTAAGAAAGCCACGATGCCACAACAGAAGTGGTATTCTGCTGCAAATCTTCTGGAAACCGTGAGCTTGTTCACGGCCTTACTTATACAGAGGACACCTGAGTCCTGACAGAGGCTTCGACAGTATGAGAGCTGGCCCCCTTTTCCAGTCTATGCCAGAAGAAAGCCTACTCCATTAGTCCTCCTGAACTGTCCCCGAGGCAGCAGTGTCCATGGACTTCGGATGTGAGGGAGCTTTGCAAGCACAGAACTCGGGGCTCATGGCCACCATTTATCCACCAAGCAGTCAGCAGGTGCTGTTTGCTCAGAGCCCTGCAGTCTTTCTGCATGAAGCTCTACCCTGGCCACCGATGAGGATCACCTGCGGAGCCTCTTTTGTCCCGGCCCCACCCAGAGAGCCTAAATCAGCACCCCAGCTGTGAGACCCCTGGCACCAGCAGGAACCTCTGCTCTGTGGAAAGATGAGGACAGGCGAGATCTTCAGGAGTGCTGACAGTGTACCTGAGGACACGTCGTACCACATGGAGATGCAACACCCAGGACACCAATGGCCATATACACTGTCAGTGTGTGACAGGCAGCATAGTAAATACAGTGCATGTGACTGCTGATGGGATTAGGAGCCCTGTACCCCAGGGATCAGTATAAGGGAAAGGGTACAAAGAAAAGGGCTGGCTTATGCTATGAGGACAGTGACCATACATCCCAGTTTTCCTGAGACTGTCCCAGTTCACACCTGATGTCCTGGTGTGTCGTCCAGCCAACAGCCACTGTCACTTGAGTGTCCTGGGTCAGCTATCACCTACACACTCACTCTAGTCATCAGCTACCAGTGCCTAACAGGCTGGAAACACAAATGTGCACTGTCGTGTATGAAAAACAAACCAAAGCCTTACCAGGCATGCAGGACCAGGAAGGAGAGGCAAGGAGGCTTGGGATGGAACCGGGCCCACAGACTTTAGAGGGCAGCCTGTCTAGAACCACCAAAAGCACAAACCATCCCTGCCTCTGTGAAGTGCTGCTGCCTGTGTTCCAGAACTTACAGCTGAGAGGGCACAGAACTTGTCTGACTCAGCAGAGTCGAGGAAGTCAAGCAGCTCAATCTCGAACAGAACTGTGGCATTTGGAGGGATGAGGGGTGGGCAGCCCAGTGCCCCATAGGCATAGGTTGGCTTGAACAAAAACCTGGCCAGCTCCCCTTTCCGCATGCTCAGCAGGCCCAGCTCCATGCCCCAAAGTGTAATATCTGAAAGAGACAGGGAGCAGAGTTGAAGCTTCCCAGCACCCTGTTCGGTGGTAGCAGCTTATTTGCCTCCATGTCCTAACCTCTCCAGGTCCTAGCTCAGGCCTTCCGCATTGTGCTCCCAACTCACTCGGCCTTGCTTTCTACTGCCCCCACTACTCCCAAACTCTGGCTTCTCCAGGCTCAGCAATATTCCTGGCTCTACATTTCCGTCACATGCTTCCTTCTTTTTGGAATGTCTTCCTCCTCGCTCCATGTCCACCTTCTACCCCCACTAAAATCTTACACTTCAGGGCTAGTTCCAAATGCCTCTGCTTCCACGGAGTCTTCTGTGATCTTCCCAGAAGGGACTAACTGCGCTGTCATTAAGCACACAGCAACACTGCTCAAATCTCCCAACAACTCATCCAATTCCACCCAGTTACTGTAGTTGTCACAATCCAAGTCAATCTCCGAGAGCACAGCGAAGTCTTAAGGCAAGAGAGGTTCTAATCATGTGAGAACAACCTCTCTTTTCATCATGCACAGTGGGAAGCAAGCAATCAACAGATACTTAATCCACAGACAAAGAAAAATGCTCCACCAGCAGGTTAGGATGCAAATTTCACCTTGGCAGGTAGGCTGTCTCCCAAAAGCTAGGTCTTGAGGGGAAATGTGGGAGAGAATGTGGGTGATTCACCACAACCCAGCCTCAGAAAAACCAACCCTATGAATCTATGCTCTGGACACTTTTCCAATCCCAATGCATTTGTCCCCAAGTGAACCCTTTGTTTCCAGCTTCCAGCCTGAATTTACCCTCTCCAAGCTTCATCAGCCGAGGAGTTTTCCTAAAGCAGTTAGAATCAAAAGGCTTGTCCATGTGCTCCAGGTATCCAGAATATTTCACTAAGACAGAAGAAAGAGTGTGAGGAAAAACACAGACCCAAGCACACTCCTGTGTCTAAAATACCAAGTCTCGAGTTATGGAAGAGGAACGGTGGAATTCATGAGCTTAAGCTGCCTGGCATTCTGAGCTGCAGAAGACTCCCCCACCTCTGGATGCCACCCCTGGGCCCAGAGGTTCCAGGGCTCTGCTCTGTGCCTAGCACGTTGCCCCCAGTCCAAATGAAGCTTTTCCATCCTGTAAAATTCTCCGCCCTCCCCCCACCCCGCCCCCACTGGGATAGTAAACTCAGGACCCTTATTCTGAGCTACAATCCCAGACGTTTTAAAAATTTTTAATTTTTTTTTTGGTACCAGGGATCAAACTCCAGACCTTGCATTTGCAAGGCAGGCAGTGGAACCACTAAGCTAAATTCCTGGCCCTAAAATTTTTAATTTTAAGACAGGGTCTTGCCAAGTCCCTAAGTTGCCCAGGCTGGGCTCAAATTTGCAATCCTCCTGTTTCAGCCTCCCAGGCATTAAACACCTTGCCTGGTCACAATGCTGTTTAAAAATGTGCCTTCCCCCACCCAAAGGAAAGTGCGATCACACAGTTCCCTGAGGACAAAGGGCAGCCAGGCAGCAGCCAGCCATACCAAGCACCGAGGCGTCAGGTGTCACCAGGTCTCCAGCACCTTCTCGGATGACATCCTTCAGCACGCCCCTGTCCCCGGAAATGTCCAGCATCTTCTGGCTTATCCGCTGGTACTGTGACTGGTGGAGAGCAAAGGCCAGACCTCAGCACTCCACGCCCATCCGAGCGAGGGAAGCCACCGCAGGTCAAAGACCCCAAAGCGGTGTCCCTGGCGCCCTCACCTGGCCGGGTGGGTCGTCCCTGCACAGGACTGCCTAGTGCTGAGCCCTTCCCCCCATGTCCACGCTGCCCGGGCTCCCTTCGGCACAAGCTCTCAGGGCCCCCTCAGGGCCGCGAGCCAGCAGGTTCCGAGAGTGCGGCCCACCACCCCTTCGCACCTGGTAGTCGGCTCCTGCTAGTGACATTTCGTTCTCAGGCCTCGAGGAGACGCTCGTCGCTCCAGTCCAACCTCCGCCAACTGCCTGTGCGCTCTAGGAACCACAAAGGACACCTGTGGGCACGTGCGCGCGCGGCGGGTGGGTGCGTAAGCACGTGACCAGGTGCGCAGAGCATGCTGGGGCACATGGAGCACGTGATGGCCGTGTGTTCATCCTATGCTCGTGACTGAGCCCTCAGAGGGTGGCTGGGCCTAGGACCCTGCAAGCAGGGTGGAATGGGGGATGTGACAGGTCCCACAGAGCACAGAAAAGCTTTCGGGTACGTTGTGAATAACGAGATGGACCACAGGGAGGTGTTAGGTAGGTTAGGGAGGGCAGGGAACTGGAGGCCTGGGTGGGACGCGTAGTTGGGGCAGCCTGGAGAGGACTCCAGAACTTCAGCCGTGGACTGGGTCAGGCCTCTGAGCTCTTACTTCTCAGTAATAACTTCTCCAAACGGTGGGCGTTTTATTACGAACTCTTCACCCTGTGGTTTCTCTCCCCGCTTTTCCTTGCTTCGTACCACCAAGAAAACACAACTGCTCTTGTGGTCAGATCCCTGAGACATGTCTTTGTTCCCTAGCTACCAGGCTCTTGTCAGCGGTTGACAAAATTGACTTCTCTGACCTTTAAGCACTTTTTCTCTTGGCTTCTGGATTAGCATTAGTGTTCTATCACTGTGGCAACAAATTACCACAGAGCTAGCAGCTTAAAGCAGCACCTACTTCTTATCTCATGGTTAAATAGGTTAGAAGTTCAATACCCTTTCTCACTGGGCTGAGATCAAAGTGTCAGTAAGGCTGTTACTTGCCGCCCTGGGTGGAGTCCAGTTCCAAGTTCATTCAGACTGTTGGCAGAATCCAGATCCCTGCAGCTCTAGGTATGACGTCACCATTTCACAGCTGCGGTCCCAGTGGGTTCTGCTCATGCTTGGAATCCTCTTCGGCCACATTTTCTCGACTCCAGCCAAAGAAAGTTCTCTGGTGTTAAGGGCTCATGTGATTAAATTCGGCCTTCTCTGATAATTCAGGACCATGACCTTAATGACATCCTCAAAGTAGTCTCTTTTGCCATGTAAGGTAACATTCACAGATACCAGGACTTATGGGGTGGAGATCTTTGGCGCCATATTCAGCCTCCCATGGATTCCAGGACACTGCCCTCTCCTTGGTTCCTCCTACTCCACTGGCCAGGCCTCCTTAGTCATTCTCCTCTTCCTAACCCCTAAACATCAAACTCATCCCTGTCCTTGAATCTCTGCACATTCCATTGTATTTTCCGATCTCTGAGAGATCCCAGCCATTCTTAAAGGTTTGCATGTGAGGTACCTAAGCATGTGTGGTATATGTGCAGTCAGCCTGTGGCCCCCACTGAGCTAGCGCCAGGTTCCTGTGTTCAGTGGCCTCTGATTCTCAAAGGGGAGTCCTCCTTCCAGCAGGGTTCATGTTGCCAGGGACCTTTTTAGAAATGAACATTCTTTTTTTTTCTTTTATTTTGGTGATAGGATTGAACTAGGGCCTTATTTGTGTGTTCTTTGGGCTCTTGGTATTTTTCCCAGGCTGGCCTCAAATTTGTGACCTTCCTGACCCGGCCTCCTGAGAAGCTGGGGTTACAAGCACATGCTACTATTCCTGTCTTAGAAGTGCACGTTCTTGGGCCTGTCCATGTACTCCTAAAACACTCTGGCACTAGGGCCCAGCAATCTGTGTGTTAACAGGGATTGTGTTGTTTACTGAAATCTGCAGAGCCCTGGGCCACTCAGCTGCTCCACTTGGACATCACAAGCATCTGACACTGGATTTCCCCTCTACTGTTCTCATCTTGATTTTGCCGCTATCAGGCATTGGCATTGCCAGCCACCCACTCAGGTGCTCAAGCCACTATGATCCATTATCTTGTGTAGAGCAGCAAGAATGCTCTGTTAGAAATATAACTCTGATGCTCCTTCCTTACTTTAAAACTCTCCAGTGTTCCATCTCTAGCACAGAAGGGCATGGGGCGTGTGTGTGCTTTCTGGTGATTCCCACTGGCCTTGGAGTTGAAGCCAAACTTCTGCCCTGGCTTATGGGGCCAACCCCTGCCAACCCAACCCCCTCGGCCTCATCTCCTGAAGTTGCTCCCTTATTATGCTCCTGCTACCCAGCCCCTGTCTCTAGTGTACCTTGCAAATAGTAACCTCTTCCCAGCCCTTGGCTCTTGCTGACCTGTTGGCTGGGCAGCTTTTCAGGTGATGGGCTTCTTTGTACTCTATCTTATTAAGTAAAATTTTGTAGGAGACCATGAATTTGGGCTGGGCACCTGCTCTGGGCCCAGCAGACCAAACCAATATAGAATGTGGTCATAGTAACTGAGTTTGGGTTGGTTTCAGGAGGCCCTATGGCCAGTTAACTAATAAAGCTGTTAAAAAAAAAAAAAAAAAAAAAAGCTGTAATCAGTTGACTAACCTGGGGCCAGTTAAATTGTTTTCTATGCCTTGCTTCTGTTTTTCTGTAAATGCTGCCAGAAAACATTGTTGGGTGGTGTTCTCAGACCCTTCCCTGGTTCTGAGAGCTATTGGATCCATGAATCATTTTTGTTTTGCTTTTTTTTTGGGCACCAGAGATCAAACTCGGGACCTTGTGCTTGCGAGGCAGGCAGTGGAACCACTGAGCTAAATCCCTGGCCTGTTTTTGGTACCACGGATTGAACTCGGGACCTTACGCTTGCAAGGTAGGCATGTTTTGCTTTGTTCAGATAAACTTTACTAAGTTTAATTAGTCTAAGGAGTTTGCTTTTTTTTTTTTTTAAATCAGTACTGGGGATTGAACCCAGGGCCTTCACCCTGAGCTACATCCTCAGCCATTTTTAATTTATTTTGATACAGGGTCTCACTAAGTTGCTAAGTTGTCCAGGCTGGGCTCAAACTTGCAATCCTCCTGCCTTAGCCTCCCAGAGTGCTGGGACTACAGGCGTGCGCCACCACATCTGGCTAAGAGTTTTTCTTTTAACAAGCTCAACTGTCCTGACCTCAAAGACATTGCTCTGCCTTTCTAAAATGATCCCTCGCACAGCCAGTCACCCATCCCTTTTCTCACCGCTCTGTTTACTTCCTGCATGGCATTTAACACCAGGATGGTGTGTATTTATGGCAAATACGACCTCCACTTCAATTACAAACTCCAGAAGGGCTAGGACTTTGTGTCTTCTCTACTATATCCCAAATACCCAGCTCAGTGCTCAACACATCACAGCTTCTCAGAAAGTATTTCTTGAGTTAAGTAAAATTAGCCTTCTCCCTGCTTATCACAGACCCTGCCTGGCCTGTTGTAGGAAGAGACCTCACCCCCAGTAGACCTGGATGTTCAGATCTCTTGGATCCATCTGCTCTTCCTGTCTTTTCCAATCAGTATTTCCCCTCCCACCCATGTTACATAGATCTGATGACCACAGCATCCATTGACTTCATAATAGAATGTCACTGAACGTTAAATACTGCATGTTTTAAAAGTTCATAATTTAGTAATTTTGAGCAAAAGAAGACCCAAAAGAATACATTCCATGTGACTCAGCTGAGTCAAAGTTCAGAAACAGGCCCCATGAGGATAGAAGTTAGGATGGTGGCCACCCTTGTTAGGGGCTCTGCCTGAGAGGAAGCACCAGGACCCCAGCATAAAGTGCTTAGAATGTTCTACAACTTGTTCTTGAGAGTGAGGATAGATGATAAGAGGGACATCAAACTGGGGAGTTAAGATTTATGCACTTCAGCTGCACATGGTGACACATACCTGTAATCACAGTACCCTGGAAGGCTAAGACAGGAGGATCACAAGTTGGAGCCCAGCCTGGCCAACTTAGTGAGACCCCCATCTGAAAATAAAAAATGAAAGGGCTGGGAGCTGGTTATGTTAGTGTACCCCTGTAATCCCAGCCCTCAGAAGGCTAAAGAAGGAAGAACACCGCAAATTGAGCTCAACCTGGGCTACATAGTGAGACCCTGTCTTCAAAAAAAGAGAAAAGCCTCAGCAATAAAGAGGGAAGCTAAAAGGGGCTGGGGGTGCGTGTGGTTCAGTGGGAAGGCCCTGGGTATAATCTCCAAGACTGAAAAAAAAAATGCACTTTTAAAAGTTATTCTTGAATTTAAACATCTAGATTAAAATACCTTCAAGATGAGATTGCTTCAGAAAGCAGCATGCCACAGCACGTGTCTGCCATGTTTGGGGTTGGCAGGTGTGAGGACACCCCCCCATCAATGTGGAGGTTATCAGAGCGGGCCCAGCAGAGGCTGCCTCCCCAGTCTCGTGATGTAACCCGGTTTCCACCTGATTCTGAGTGACCTTGGGGACAGGAGTATTGCTGGGAAAAGGGAGGAGAGCAGGGGGAGAGACCAAGCAGCAGGCACAGGAGTCCAGCTGTGCTCCCCAGGTCTCCGGCTGCTTCTCATCCTGCCAAGAACTTCACACCCCAGCGGAGGCCTGGCCTGGCGGATTGGGAGAGGCCAGGTAATGTGGTGCTGCACTGTCCCTGGGGCTTCTCCTCTCTGGCACTCAGATTCCATAGGGGAGCCGAGCCCTGCCTGGTCCCAGACTGGGGGACAGTGGTTCTGGGACAGAATTCTCTGCTCTAAAATTGCCTGGGGATGTCTACTACAGTGCAGATTTCTGGGTCTCACTAGAGCCCCCTTCCCCCGCCAGTAGAATCCCTGAAGGTGGGAATCAGAAACCCCAGTGTAACTGAGCTTTGACGTTGTTTGGCTGTTGCAGAACTGATTCAGACCATGGAAAGGAGCGTAGCTTGACTTTTCCATCCAGTTCTAGGCTGCAGAACTGCTGGGGCTGGAGCCTTAATTATCAGCATCACAGGTGGCCCTCCCCCAGCTGGCCTTTCACATTTATTCCAAATCTGAGCCAACAATGTGGAATTCATCTATATCCAAGTGGCCTCTTCTGGAAGCCAAGCCCTTTGTTTTACAGATGGGGAAACCGAGACCTAAGTTAATAGTGGGTTAAGACTGCAATCCAGGGCTAGCGTCCTTCCCTTTAAGTTCTGGCAGCCCTTTGGGCTGGTAGGGTGGACAGTGTGGACAGAGGGCAGGAGGGGCAGGACCGAGCCCGGCCACCTATGTTTCACCCCGGGCAGCGCTCATGGCGTGGCAGGTGAGCGTGCCCGAGCTGCAGGATCAGCTTCAGTGCCCCATCTGCCTGGAGGTCTTCAAGGAGCCCCTGATGCTGCAATGCGGCCACTCCTACTGTAAGGGCTGCCTGGTGTCTTTGTCCTGCCACCTGGACTCGGAGCTCCGCTGCCCTGTGTGTCGCCAGGAGGTGGATGGCAGCAGCTCCCCGCCCAACGTCTCCCTGGCCCGGGTGATTGAAGCCCTGCGGCTCCCAGGGGGTGCAGAGCCCATGGTCTGTGAGCACCACCGAAACCCACTCAGCCTTTTCTGCGAGAAGGACCAGGAGCTCATCTGCGGCCTCTGTGGCCTGCTGGGCTCCCACCAGCACCACCCAGTCACGCCTGTGTCCACCGTCTACAGCCGCATGAAGGTGAGAAGGTGGGTTGTGGGGGACCTGGTGGGGACCATGGGCGCTTGACTTTGAAGCCTGCTCCTGTGCTCTCTGGTGCACCACCATCTGCCACAAACTACAGTATGTCCCGGTCAGGATGTGATTTCCCTGCAGCCCTGCCCTGGAGCATGCATGCGTTCATCCAGGCATCATTTTGAGCAGGTGCAGCAGGTGCTGGGGTTGCAGCCACAAGCAGAAGGGAGAGCCTCTGGTATCGTTTGGCAGCCCCTTCCTCCGCCGATCTTTGTATTCCTGGTTTGTTTCTAGAGCGCTGTCCTGCCTGTGTGCTCAGAGGGTGGGAACTTAGGTTGCCTGGTGTTTTCAGTGCCCTGAACCTTATCGCTGTAAAGGCTCACAAGGTGTTTGTTGAATCAGTGAATCCCTGACCTCACAGAGCACAGCACCAGGCCAGCACGTCATCATTTAAGATGCAGGGGAATAGCGCCGTCTGGGTCACTAGGTTGACGTGAAGCTTCGAGGACAGATTCATCTCCACAGTTTCATTTACTCAGAACAATTCTGGGAGGCAGGCAGGGTGGGGTTATTATACTTTACATATGAGGAAACTGAGGCTCAGAGAAGGCAAGATCTTGTCTGAGTTCATACTCCAATGACTTGTAAGTGGCACAGCTGGGACTCCAAGTGAGGCAAGTTTCCTTTCACTGCTATGGGCTGAGAAATGGCAGGAAAGGGAAGGTACTTGGCTCCGTGCTTGGTCATGGAAGGCCTGTGCGACACAGAAAGGGACCTGGATTTATTCAGAGGCAGTGGGTGGGTGGGGTGATGATGTGGTCAGACCCCCTGACCAGGGATAGACTGGAATGTCAGGGGTGGAAGGGTAGAATGAGATGCAAGGTGTCAGGACCTGAGGGTTGGGAGTGGGCAGGGAGCCCTGGGGCACCCTGGGAGATATTCAGAAGGAAGACGAGGACAAAACCCTGAGGACTGACTGTGGGAATGGGAGCAGGAGGAGTGACCTCCTCTGGCACAGATGAGGGAGCACCCACCCAGAATCACAGGCGGGGCAGCCGTGATGCAACCCACCACACCCTTTTTCCATTCCTTTGGCCGCTCCCTTTCGGGCTTTCTTGTCTTCTCTGGAGCACTTGACTAACTGACTTGCAGTTTCCTCTCCCTGTGGCCATGTTAACAGGACCCAGTGTCCTCTCTGCCTCATCAGATGACTGCTGAAATGCCCTTCTGGGGCTTTGACACAATGCTTTGAGGCCTCATCACCTGGTACAAGGAGGTTGTGTCTACCTCCCCCCATGCTGGCTTCACTCTAGCTCCTTTCCTGAAATCCCTGCAGCTCTTTTGTACTTGGGAATGATCTAAACCAGAGATCCTGAACATGCACGGCCATAAACCAGCAGGGATCTGGGCCAGCAGTGACCAGATGGTGGTGCAGGGGGCTGGCTTGGAACCCACAATGGGCACACTGGGGTCAGGGCAGTCCAGAAGTGAGATTATGTCCACCCCAGGAGGCCTCAAATCAAGGCTGGGCCCACAGCTGCCGGGGATGGACTCAGGTGTGCATAGGGGAAGGTCACTGGGTTTCACATGGGCCACTACAAGCGGCGTCAGCCTCACTGGGGGAGCCTTTTGTGACAGCTCTTGATCAAATGCTCATTCATACTGGACCCAGTGGCAACTGCAGTTTACCAGTGGCCTGCATTCGGTGCAGGGAGAGTTGGCTTCCGATTCCTGTCAGTTGCCACTCTCAGACGTTGTGTGGACTTCCAGGTGGCTATGACAATGTTTTGCATCTATGTCCCAGAGAGGGATTACACTGGGACTTCTCCTGCCTTGGCAATTCCTGTGGCCATGTGGAATACTCTTGAATACTCTAACCTATTTTGAGGCCAAGGAAACTTGGGTAGCTCTGGTCCCTGTCCTGTCCCACTAGGGGTGCTTGGGGCCATTGGGTTACTCCAAGAAGGAAGAGGCCCAGGGCTGGCCCGAGGAGCAGAGGGGGTAGTGGGTCCCCTGCTCAGGGGACCACGGCCTGTTGACTCTAGGAGGAGCTTGCAGCCCTCATCTCTGATGTGCAGCAGGAGCAGAAGGAGGTGGACGAGCTTATTGCCAAACTGGTGAACAACAGGACTCGGATTGTCGTGAGTGTCCTTTTCCTCTTCACTTTCCTGCAGAGCCCAGTTCTTTTATTCTTTTATTTTTATTTTTTGCCAAGCTGGCAATAGAACTTAGGGCCTAGTGCGTGCCAGGCAAATGCTTGGCCGCTGAGCCACACCCCCAGCAGGCCCAGCTCTATTTGTCCTTTACTGAAAACCATATCTTCCATTCAAAGCAGAGTTCAAAGCATTCCAGAGTGGGTGAGGAAAGTGCAAATCCTCCTAGGAGAATTCCGCCCAGTTGTCAGGCAGGATCGGCTCCAAGTTGGCTCCGTCCTCCATGTCCTTGGGGCCGAGATAACCCAGGATTTGAGTCCCAGAGATAAACAGCCAAAGCTCAGGCATGACTTTCCCACCCCTTGGTGCCACTTGTGTCTTTTTGCCCTTGACAGCCTGTTGTGGGGCCTTTCCAGTACCTGGGGCAGAGGCCTGGCAGGGGAGCCCTGGGTGCTGTCTGATTTACCTGAGTGAGCTGCTTGCTGGGGCTGGGGGTGCTGGAGGAGGAGCAGGAGCGGCTGCGTGGTTTCAGGCACCATCTGATGGTGGCAGCACTCGGTTCAGCAGGGCGTTAGTCCTGGGCAGCCTCTCTCCTAGGCCTGCTCTCCCGGGGCCTTTCCTGTCTTGCTCAGTTGTGGAACTTTAGGATAAAGTCTTAGCTATGCAGGTAATAGTTAAAACAGGCAAAAGTTAAAGAGCTGGGGTCCTGTCACTGGTCACCATGCCCACAGCGGACTCTCAGGTGCCCTGAGCCCAGTGTGAAGTCCCTGGCAGGTGTCAGCTGGGGAGGCCCTGGGGACACTGAGGCCACCCACTGCAGCCAGGCAGCTCGGTAGTGACCACCATGAGCCACCCTCCCTTGTCCCAGAATGAGTCCGATGTCTTCAGCTGGGTGATCCGCCGAGAGTTCCAGGAGCTGCACCACCTGGTGGATGAGGAGAAGGCCCGCTGCCTGGAGGGGGTGGAGGGTCACACGCGAGGCCTAGTGGCCTCCCTGGAGATGCAGCTGGAGCAGGCCCAGGGCACTCGGGAGCGGCTGGCCCAGGCCAAGTGTGCGCTCCAGCAGTTCGGCAACGAGAGTTACCACGAGTTCATCCGGGTGAGTGACACGGGGTGGCCCCTGGGCCCTCCCCTCCCTACAGCCACGTGGCTTCCGCACAGCCATTACCTGCCCCTCTCTCGTCTTCCAGAAGTACCACGCCATGACCTCCAGGTAACAACTGCAATGCAGCTGCTGGAGCGATGTCAGCAGAGGCTGGTGGCTGCAGGCACAGGCCGCTCCTCCACTGGTCCCTCCATTCGGTTTAACCAGCCGCCCCTGGGCAGCTTCTCACATCTGGCTCTGGTCCCCAAGCCCAGGGCAAACAGCAAAAATTATGTCCCTGCTTTGGGAGTCTTGCAGGGTATACTGGGGAGGCAGGTGGCAAGCTGTGGTCCCAGCACTGTGGGGACAGGAACACTAGGGCACTGGCAGAGCCACACAGGCGTAACGGCTAAAGGCAGGGGACCTCAGTGTGCTGCCAGGCAGGGAGGGGAGCAGTGTTGTGCAGGATGAGGGGGTGTGGACTCAGGGTCCATGGCCAGGAGAGGAGAGCTGAGATGGGAGGCCCAGGAGCCTGCGCATTCAGGACCACTGCTAGGAAGGAGTGAGGTGCTCACAAAGAGGACAGGGGAAAGCACAGTGGGCAGTGTGAGCGCACAGCCCCGAGTGTGGATTTGCCTGGGTGGCCTTCCATGTGAGACAGAGGGTGGATGTGGCCGTGGGCACAGAGCGCTCCCATTCCCGTGGCCTGTTACCTGCAGAGCCGAGCTCCAGCAGGCGCGGCCCTTGGAAGGCACGTTCAGCCCTATCTCCTTCAAGCCAGGCCTGCACCAGGCCGACATCAAGCTGACCGTGTGGAAAAGGCTGTTCCGGAAAGTTCTGCCAGGTGAGGCTCCAAACTGTCCTCTTTCTGTCTTTTCATGAGTGGCATCAGAGAGCTTGAAGCTGCAGCGAACTCAGTGTGCTGCTGTAGGTGTGGCTTAATGCCAGGCCTTCTCTGTCTCCCTCCCAGCCCCAGAGTCTCTCAAGCTGGACCCTGCCACTGCCCACCCCCTCCTGGAGCTCTCCAAGGGCAACACAGTGGTACAGTGTGGGCTCCTGACCCAGCGACGTGCCAGCCAGCCTGAGCGCTTTGACTATAGCACCTGTGTCCTGGCCACCCGGGGGTTCTCCTGTGGCCGCCACTACTGGGAGGTCGTGGTGGGCAGCAAGAGCGACTGGCGCCTGGGGGTCATCAAGGGCACTGCCAGCCGCAAGGGCAAGCTGAGCAAGTCCCCGGAACATGGCCTGTGGCTAATCGGCCTCAAGGAGGGCCGAGTGTATGAGGCCTTCAGCTGCCCGCGGGTGCTGCTGCCTGTGGCGGGCCACCCCCACCGCATTGGGGTCTACCTGCACTATGAGCAGGGGGAGCTCACCTTCTTTGATGCTGATCGCCCTGATGACCTGCGACTGATTTATACCTTCCAGGCTGACTTCCAGGGCAAGCTCTTCCCCATCCTGGACACATGCTGGCATGAGAGGGGCAGCAACTCACTGCCCATGGTGTTGCCCCCGCCCAGCGGGCCTGGCCACCTCACTCCCCGGCAGCCTACCACACTGTAGGCAGACCTGGTGCTGCACTGGGCACTGGGACTGAGGGCTTCCACCAGGTGACATCTTCACTCTTTGGGAAGGGCTTCCCGCCTGTGTGTCCTTGGAGCATTTATGACAGGGAGAAAGGCCACAGTCTCTTCCTTGCCAGCCAGCTGGGGCTAGCAGAGCCAGCCATGTCCTGCTGAGCAACCTTGTCCTTCCTGACCACGCTGTCTTCCAGCTGAGGGTGGAAATGTTCCTTCCTCTTTATCACTGTGAACTCAAAACATAAGAATAATAAATCTGACAGTCCTTCTTTCTCCTTAAGTGATGTAATAGTTATAAAATATACTGTTTAATGCTCAAGTCTGTATTTTTGCTATGTGGGGGACTGAACCCAGGCCCTTACCTGTGATCAGCAAGCTCCCCCTCACTGAGCCGTACCCCAGCCTCTATGTTTAGGCATTTAAAAGCATCTCTAAGGGCTGGGGATTTAGCTCAGTGGTTTTGCCGCCTGCTGGGCAAGCACAAGGACCGGAGTTCGATCCCTGGTACCAAAAATAATAAATAAATAAAAGCATCTCTGACCTGTGGTGGGCCTCTCTTGCTTCCCCTGCCGCTTGCTTGGTCTGTGTTCCCAGTCACATCAACCATTCTGTCAGTTTCTTCCTCTGATTCCTCTGATTCACCTTTCAAGTAGACAGAACGAAAGGAAGCTGTAGGGGTGAGATGGGGAGGGTGCAGCTCCGTGAGATGACCAGGCACATGAGAATGTCCACTCCAGACCATGGCTGGGACAACCAAATTCTCACCCAGGAATCTGACAATTGGAAGACAGAAGGGCTGGAGCTGTCACCTGAGACCTGGCACTTTCAAGAGAAGATTCATAGCCCTGTGTCACAGAGCCCAGGAGCAGCCCGAGAGCCTCTGTGAGGGGCAGCTCTGCCGTGGTGTCCAGGGACGATGCCACACAGGCAAGGCTTGAGTGCACTTTTTCCGAGATGGTAACATTTACAGTTTCCAGCAATTATGGCTTGGTATCTTTGGGTGCCCATTATTCAGCCCACAGCACCAGGCTCCTGTCATAGCAAGGGCATCCCACCCTAACTGGAAACCTAGGCCCTCTCTTCCTCCTCCTCCATGCCTCTCCCCTCCTCCTCCTTTCTCCTCCTGCATTTTCTTCCTTCTCTTTTTCTCCTTCTTTCTCCTCCTCTTCCTCTTCTTTTTCCTCTTCTTCCTTCTTTTCCTCCTCTTCTTTTTTGTTTTTTTTTGGTACCGAGGATTGAACTCAGGACCTTGTGCTTGCATGGCAGGCGGCAGAACCACTGAGCTAAATCCATGATCCCCTCCTCTTTAAAAAAATTTTTTTTAAAGATAGGGTCTTGCTATGTTAGTCCAGGCTCACAGCAATCCTGCCTCAGGCTCCCAAATGCTGGGATCACAGGCATGAGCCACTATGCCCAGCTCTGTGTGTTACTCTCGATCTGTCCCTCCTCCTGTTCAACTTCTATGGATTTAACTTTTAAACTGCAGTCATATTGCCACCTTCAACCCAACTCCATTGACACCAGCCCACTCCAGGCCATCACTTCCTACTGAGATGATTGCTGTGAATTTCACTGGTCTCCATGCCTTGACTCTGCCCCCTCAATCCTTTCCCCACACAGCAGCCAGACTGATCTTTTAAGGAAACAAATCAGAAGCTATCTCTTTCTAATTAAACCCTTCAGTGGACTCCCATTTCTCTCAAGTTAGAGGTCAAGATCCTTATCACACCTCCTTCACTTACTGTGTCTAGCCATGCTAGTCCATTTCAGGTCCCCAAATACAGTGGACCTTTGAGTTACAACCAGCCTGACATAACAACATGGGTTACAAATGGAATTTTAGTTTTAACTTACAACCGAAGTCTTGAGTTATGACCCAAATGGCAGCTGCTTGTGGTTCCAGATGGTCTCAGACAGATTTAACCCTTAAGGCGTTCTGGAAGGAACATTACAGCGTCCTTTCTTGTGTGTGGTTAATTGAGAAATCCTGGGCCAATGTCTCTGTAAGGACACTGAGATTTTCTTGTATGCAGAAGAGAGATTTTGAAGACTGTGTAGAGGAGCCTGAGCCTTCAATTGACCAACTTGAGTTACAACCAGCCCTTGAGAATGACTTGAGTTTGTAAGTCAAGGGTCCACTGTAGTCCATGTGCCTTCTTCCTTTGTGGACACTACACAGGCTTCCCAAGCTGAACAGCCTGAGCCTGGATGGTCCAAGGCCCATTCCGGCTGTCATGTGTGCCAGTGTACAGAGCGGGTCGGTGTTATGGACCACATCTGCCCAGAGCTCCTGGGGTCATCTTAGCCATTCCGTGGAAAATGCCTGAGAATGGAGCCATCAGAGGACAGATAGGACAAGAAGGTGAGGACACAGAGACACCCAAGTGAAATAAGTGCAGGTTTTAATTTGAAAGTTTGCTGGTAACATTTGGGCCCCTCCATACAGCCATGCTTGAAATGTGTCCTGATCCCCCAACCTCCAGGGATTCCTATTTGTGTAAGCAAATAATTTCTGCCCCTTTTTGTTCTCTTTAAATAGCTGGGATTTTGTCACTTGCAACTGAAGGAGTCCTGACCAGCTAGGTCACCTGGATACAAAAGTTCCTAGACCCAATCATATGAGACTCTTGAGAAAGAGCTAGTTGGTTGGCCTTTCTCTTTATGTAAAAACCTTTGGAACCTAACAATCAGTTTTGGGCCCATTTTGCTGTACCTATACCAGTTCCCTATTCACCAGCAGGAGTTGTTTCAGTGAGGGTCAATTCTAGCACAACTAGTTGTCCAACATCACACCAATTTGTGCTTATTCATTCATGCACTCTTCCATCAGTTATTTTACTATTTTAGATCTTTATTGTAAGGAAGACACTGATCTAGATGGTAAGGGTAGATTGGTGTCAAGATGGACAAGCTCTTTGTCTTCTTGGAGTGAGCTATGGCAACAGACAAACCACAAAAAAAGTAAATAAGATAACCACATGGAATAGGTGATATGATAAAATAAGAAAAGTGATAGGATTTGATGGAGGTGCTGCTGGGGGCCTCACTTTGAGTTACATCCCAACCCCTCCCCCTCTTTTTTGTGAGACAGGTCACGAAGTCACTAAATTGCAAACGCCTGTAGTCCCAGCACTCTGGGGGGCTAAACAGGAGGATGGCAAGTTCCAGCCCAGCCTGGGCAACTTAGCAAGAACCTGTCTCAAAGTGAAAGAATAAAAGGATGGGGATATAGCTCAGTGTGAAGGCCCTGGGTTCAATCCCCAGTATGACACCCCCTAAAAACATCACTTATTAACCTAGAGCAACAAAAAGTTAAAGTTTGGAACTACTCATCAATTCTAATGTAGACCAAAATCTGCAATCATTGCAAAATGCTTGCTGAGGTGTCCGGGCACCTAACCCAAGGCCTCGCGACCACGAACTCCACCACTTAGCTACACAGAATCTGTGCTTTCTGACTCCGGAAGTCCGGCCGTAAAGAAGGTACAGGGCGCGGGCAAAGCCGGCTGCGCTTTGCGACAGCGCCGTAAGTGCGCGCGGGAGCGGGAGCATGGCGTTGTACGCAGCGGCGGCGGCGGTATTGGAGGGCGTGGAAAACCGCAAGGGCTCCCTCAAGGGGCTGGTGTACACCAGCAGCTTCCAGGTAACGGGGCTGGACGCAGGAAAGATGGGGTGCCTGGGCCCGAGTCGGCCGAGAGGGTCCACCTTGGCCCCTCTCAGCGTGTCTCTTCGGCCGCGCAGAACGTGAAGCAGCTGTACGCGCTGGTGTGCGAGACGCAGCGCTACTCCGCCGTGCTGGACGCGGTGATCGCCAGCGCCGGCCTCCTCCGCGCCGAGAAGAAGCTGCGGCCGCACCTGGCCAAGGTGAGGGGCGAGGCGGGGGGGGGCGTCCGTCACCAGGTCCCCGCATTGCCCGGCGTCACTCTTCTGAAATGTCTGCGCAGCCTCTTACTGGGTTATGCATCGATTTAAATGAATTTGCTTTAACTTCGGGCCTTGCTTAAAGGAGTAAATGGAACAGAAAGCGGGGCGCGGTGGATCACGCCTGTAATTTCAGCACTCTGGGAGGCTGAGGCAGGAGGGTCGCAAGATTGAGCTCCACCCGGTCAGTTGAGGGACTTCTCGAGATCTTGGCTAAAAAGGATTGAGGATGTAGCTCCGTGTGAAGGTACTGGATTTAATCCCTAGCTCCATGCCAAAAAAAAAAGGGTAGGGCCGGGGATTTAGCTCAGTGGTTCAGGTCCTGAGTTTGATCCCCGGTCCCCCCGCCCCCCAAAAAAGGGCAATGAGCGAGACTAAGAGAAGGGGGAGGGGTTGGCCAGGCACGGAATTGAAGGGCAGGGCTCTGTTGCTGAGCAGCCTGGAGAAAGGGTCCAGGCCTGTGTCTGCCCTTACTTGCTGTTCATGTACCAGAGACCACCTCTGCTGTATCTGGACAAGGTCTCTTTAGCCCGCCAAGTTCCAGCACTCTATAGAGTTCTGAGGGGTGAGTACCTAGGGGTCTCTTATTTTGTCTCTGTCTCTCCCTCCCCAGGTGCTAGTGTATGAGTTGTTGCTGGGAAAGGGCTTTCGAGGGGGCGGGGGCCGATGGAAGCCTGTGCTGGGCCGTCACCAGGCGAGGCTCAAGGCTGAGTTGGCTCGGCTCAAGGTTCATCGGGGTGTGAGCAGGAACGAGGACCTGTTGGAAGTGGGGTCCAGGCTGGGCCCAGGTGAGCTGGGGGGAATTGTGCAGCCTGGGGAGGGTGACAGGCATCAGGCCCTATGAGGAAGGCGTCCGTGCTCCCACCTCTCACTGCTGCTGTGGTTCTAGCCTCCCAGGTGCCTCGCTTCGTGCGAGTGAACACTCTCAAAACCTGCCCCGACGATGCAGTGGATTATTTCAAGAGGAAAGGTTTCTCCTACCAGGGCCGGGCTTCCAGGTGAGAGCTCAGCACCCTGCCCTCCTAACTCCCCACCTTGAATGAAATCCTTAGACACTGCAAATATGTTCTAAAAAATACTGAAAAAACCCCCAAAAGTTCCACCACAGATAATGTGAAAATTTTTAAATCATTAAAGAAGTGTCTGTTTTTAATTTCTTAAAGACCCTCTAAAGGCAGCTGTAAGGCTGCTCACTTTCTCGGAGGCCTGGGTGCTGTGCTGTTCTGAGCTCTGCCCCAGGCCGCTCAGCCAAAGCCCTCCTGCTCACTGCCTGAGCTTCTTCCCCCGGCCTCACCTCTTCCTGTTTTGTCCCTTGCCACCTCCGAACAGTTGCTTATGCTCTCCCCTTCCCCTCCCTCCTCCTGCCACTGGAATGCTGGCTTCTCGGCCAGGATAGCGCGGCACCGAGGGTGACATTCGGGTTGAAAGTGCAGCCTCACAGCTTGGTGGCCTTCTGACCTGGGATGTGCTGTTCCCCAGCCAGGCTATGGTGGGCCTGGGGTGCACTGTGCTCCTTGCAGAGGTGTAGGGACTGTGGCTGCCGCTAAGCTCCTCAGCCATCAGGGAGCAGTGCTGCGCTGCCTACCCTGCACCCCGCCCCCTGGAAAGGAGCCCCCTAGGGCTATGCTTTCTGGTAATGGTCAGCATCTACTGGCAAATGTTTCCTGGCGCTTTACCTGTGCCGAGTGTGTCAAACATTGGTGGCCTTCATCTGTGCCGCCTGTGACACAGAGGCACAGGTGGAGCTGGGGCTGGGATCACCTGCCCATGCCCCTGCTGCTGGGAGATGGAGGGCCAGGGTCCTGAACCCAGCTAGCCTGGCCAGAGGCCATTGTGTCAACTACTGACTTGACTGCCTGTGTGGTCATCTGAAATGTCTTCATAGCTGTTTTTCATTGGTTTTTTTGGTAGCAAAGTTTTTTTTCTGTACCGGGGATCGAACTCGGAACCTTGCGCTTTCGAGGGAGGCTCCGGACCCACTGAGCTAAATCCCCGGCCCGGAATCATTTTCTTTTTTTGGTACCGGGGATCGTACTCGGGTCCTTGCGCTTTTGAGGCAGGTAGCAGAACAACTGAGCTAAAGCCCCAGCCCTCATTGGTTTTTTTGTAGTGCTGAGGATTTGAACCTTATGTGCTAGGCAAACACTCTTACCACTGGGCCACACCCCCAACCCCTGCATAGCCAGTTGGTTTAAATTTACATTGTGTTTTGTTTTTGTGTAGTTCCAGCTGGCCTCAAGCTCAGTGATCCTCCTGTTTCAGCCTCCTGAGTGTTGGGATTGTAGGCCTACTTCACCTCTCCCAGCTTACTTAAATTTTAAGACAAGTTCTCTCTAAGTTGCTCAGGCTGGTCTTGAACTTGTCACCCTCCTGCTTCAGTCTCAGAGTGCTGGGATTATAGGCATGTGCTATCACACCAGCCACAGAGTTTAAATATTGGTTGTAAGAATGAGCAAAGGGGAGCCTGGCACGGAGGAAACCAGAAAAGGTTGAATTAATGGTTTATGTTCCCTGGCAGCCTGGAAGACCTACGGGCCCTCAAGGGGAAGCACTTTTTTCTGGATCCCTTGCTGCCCGAGCTGCTCGTGTTTCCTGCGCAAACAGATCTGCACGAACACCCTCTGTACCAGGCGGGTCACCTCATCCTGCAGGACAAGGTAGGGAGGGCAGGTGGAAGGGGAAGCGTGTGCGGGCTCCCCCGGCTCCGTTCACCTGCTGCTGTGCTCCGCTCTGCCAGGCCAGCTGCCTCCCGGCTATGCTGCTGGCCCCACCACCTGGCTCCCACGTCATCGATGCCTGTGCTGCCCCAGGAAACAAGACCAGTCACCTGGCAGCTCTTCTGAAGAACCAGGGGTGAGCGCCACGTGGCGAACAGGAGAGGAAAGGGCAGGGGTGGGGCAATAAGGACATCTTTAGTAGGGACAGAGCCGGGGTGTCCCAGGCTAAGCTTCCTGGGGTCTGCAGGTGAGATGTGGTCCCTCATTCCTTCATGCTTGACCCTAGGCCAGTTGGCTATTTATATATTTATTTGGTACTGGGAATTGAACTCAGGACCTTGAGCTTGCAAAGCAGGCGTGTTGCCACTGAGCTAAGCCCCCGACCCTAGTTGGCCATTTGTGTATTCAGTACTTCCTGCATGTCCTGACTTAATGTACATGTCAGTGTGGGACATGTCGGAGATATGGCCTCCCTGAGGTGCCCTGTACATTCTCGGTCCATCCCAGCTCTGTCCTCTCCCCCAGGAAGATCTTTGCCTTCGACCTGGATGCCAAGCGGCTGGCGTCTATGGCCACTCTGCTGGCCCGCGCTGGGGTCTCTTGCTGCGAGTTGGCCGAGGAGGACTTCCTAGCAGTGTCGCCCTCTGACACACGTTATGCCAGGGTCCAGTACATCCTGCTGGACCCCTCCTGCAGTGGCTCTGGTGAGAGGGGGAGGCTGGCCTTGGGGTTGCAGGCTAGATCAGGCTTGTTTGTTTTGGTCCCAGTTGGACTTGGCGGCCGTGGGACTGTTGGAACTTGGCACTCTGTGGGTTTGTACAGAGGACTCTTCTCACAGGCATGTTGAGCCGGCAGCTAGAGGAGCCCGGCGCAGAGCTGCCCAGCAAGGAGCGCCTGTGTGCCCTGGCAGCGTTCCAGCTTCGAGCTCTGTGCCACGCGCTCACCTTCCCTGCCGTGCAGCGCCTCGTCTACTCCACATGCTCCCTGAGCCAGGAGGAGAATGAGGATGTGGTCCGAGAGGCTCTGCAGCAGAGCTTAGGGGCCTTCCGGTAACACGGGCCCTGGGTAGGGCATGGAGGGTGGAGGGTGCTCGCTGCCCCAGTGCAGGCTGAGCCCTCTCCCTCTGCAGGCTGGCCCCCGTCCTGCCCTCCTGGCCACACCGAGGCCTCGGCACTTTCCCGGGGGCTGAACACTGCCTCCGGGCCTCTCCTGAGACCACACTCACCAGTGGCTTCTTCATTGCTGTGATTGAACGGACAGAGGTGCCCAGGTGAGGAGTGGGGGATGGGCAGGGCTTGCTGGGGGGGGCAGGCAACTAGGGCTCCCCTGACCTGTCCTTGCCCTACAGCTCAGCCTCACTGGCTGAAGTGCTGGCACCGGAACCTGCAGCCAGCCCTGCACGGAAGAGGAGGAAGAGGCGGCGGAAAGCAACGGCTGGTGAGGGCACATAGCAGATGCCAGTCGGCGGTGAGAACTGCAGGGAAGGCAGCTGCTGGATGGCACACTGAGCCCTGGGCTGCGGCTGGGATCTGGAAGTGGAGGGAAGCTGCCTGGCAGGTGGCTTCAACTGCTGGAAGGACAGGGGTGTCCTAGCCCTGTGGCTCCCTCCCCTGGACTGTGTTTTTGCTGGTGACAGAAGTGCTGCCCACACAAATAAAAAGACAGGACAGTCTATGATGGATCACAGTTTGTTTATTCTTATGACATAAGCAGAGAGAAAAATGTCACATTCATACTAAAAATGCCCACTAGCCCCAACAGGAACCAGATCTCACCGGTAACGGGAAGTCAGTCCCAGCCTCCTGTTCCTGTGCTGCACACGTGCTTGCACACATGCCCGGTGCCCACGCGGGGAGGGTGGTCAGCTGGCTCAGACCCCACAGCCGAGGGCCCTGATGCAAGGCCAGGCCGAAGCTTCGCTGCTGGACCTGCACCCACCCTGCTGGGACTAGGCCTTGCGCTCTTCCCACATTCAACCTCAGACACTAAGGGGGAGGGACTAGTTACACCTATGTCACATTATTTATAAAATAAGGATTAAGTCTGTATAATCCAGAAGGAGCTCCAGTCTTGCAGTGGAGCAGTGAGCTCCTTCACACAGGCATAACTTAACTATACAGCTAATCTCTAGTCCATAGCATTTATACTGAACCACCTCAATGAACCAAGCTTGAAGGAATTTAAAAGGCAATTTAGCTTAAATACAAAAATAAATTTTTATTTTGTTAAAAAATGTTTAAATATTTTTCTTTTAATTTAGACACACGCATTCATACTTCTCCCAAAGAGGATGGGCGTGGCAGCGAGGCACTGGGGCCTGGGGGGTCTGGGAGCAGAGTGGGTAGAGAAGACCCTATGGGGGACGTGACTGCGTGACGAGCGTAACACGCGCTTCGTCAGCATGGCTCTCCTGCCATGTCCCGGGGTGGGTAAGTGGGAGAACAGTGGAGGGGAGGTCTTGCTCCCCCCAGCCCTATCCCAGGGGCTGCCAGCCCTTAAAAGTCAAAACACCATGGCAAAATTCAGAAGTCAGCACTGTGGCTGTCAAGTGGTGCCACTTTCCACATTCCATTAACCAGGCCCAGGAGACTTGAGACAGGTCCGGCACTACCAACATGCCGCCACACATACGATTCAATTCTTCCTCCAAACTCGATTCAAAGAGCAACAGACACAAGCGTCAGACAGTAACACAGGACAAGGCTTGGGACGTGTGATCCCAAAGAGGCAGACGCAGGCCGGGAGGCCAGAGGGCGGGGGAGGCAGCTGAAAGCGGGGGAGCATCCTGCCTGCTCCAGGAGCTGCTCTCTTGGAGCGAGGGGCTCACCCCCGGCTCTGCCAGGCTAACAGTCTTGAGCCACCACGCTTTTAGGGGCCAAACTGGCAGAGGGTTGGAGGTAAAACCACCTCAGACTTGGCAGGAGGAAGTGGAGCAGGAGCAGCACCCACTGGGGTCTCCAAGGCAAAGCTAGGTTCAAGATCATTTAAAAGGAGTAAATCCTTCAGGGAACCAGTGAGGGTCAAAGCAGCAAGAAATGAGGCAATAGTCCCCTAAAGGGACCAGAGGAAGAGAACCACTTCTTACAGCCAAGCTGAGCAGGTAAAGCTTAGGGGTGATCTATTTTCCCCAACCCATCCAAAGTGCTGGAGATCCAGGGGTGCGGGGCACTGCACCCTCCGGCAAGAGGCCGCTTGGAGAAGGCGGCGGGAGGTGCCTGGCTGAGCTACACACTAAGCAAGCTGGGGAAGTGGACAGTATGTACAGATGTTTCTGTAGTTCTCCAGCCTCACCAGAGCAACTGTTCAAGTAAACGTAGCGGGCTTCTGCCCTGGCTCTTCCTGCCCCTCTCTGAGACACCTGCTTCCTCCAGGAGGGAAAGGGCACAGAGCTGCCGTATGTGCCCTGGTGGCTGAAGCCAGGGATCTGGGGTAGGTTTGCTGTACAGAACTTGAAGGGTCAGAGGCTCTTCCTAGCAGGTGCTGAGGTCCAGATGTGGGTGAGGGGTGAGGGGACAGGGACAGGAGACAGGAGAGAGGCTATTTCTTTCTGGTGTGCTGCCTTCGGGCCTGCAGTCGCTGTCGAGCCCCTGGGGTCTTGGACCCTGAACCAATGGAGAAGGAAGGGGCCGCTGATCCTAGAAAGGTTGGACAAGGTCTCATGAGGGCAGCTTTCCCAGAGGACACGTCTCTAGTGCCTTGGCTCTGCAAAGTCAGGCCAACACCACCAGAGCTTCCCAAAGGTACTGCAGCCCCATCCAGGAAGGGCTCAGCAAGAGGCAAAGTCCCGAAAAAAAGGCACAGCTACCCAAGAGGGCTCCTCTGAGTTCTGCTGTCCAGAATCAAAGCCTGATCTCCACAGGTCTGAGGGCCGGGAGCCTGCACCCCACCCCACGCTGCTGGAGCCATCACTCACCGAAAGGCGTGACTCCGACAAAGACCTGGCCAGGTGCTGAAGGTGTCCCAAAAGAGAGGCTGCTGCCCGTTGTGCCCACGCTGGGAGTAGGGGTGCTCTGTCCAAAGGTGGGTGTGGAGGTCCCTGGGAGGAGAGCCAGTGGAGGATGGTCAGGCTGGCCAGCGAGCAGATGGCAGGGAGCCCAACTGGAGGCCTGCGTGCTGTCGCCCTGGCTGCCTGCAACTCAGGGCCGAGCCCTGTGGGTCCAGGGCACCTGCCCTGCCCATGGTCTCCCTGGCTTCGCACCCCACAGCAGCCTGACAGAGGACTCCCCCACCAGCACTCAGCTCGCTTGCAGCCATCTCTTGTCCACTCCCTCCCTTTCACACTCACCAGCCCCTAGCCCTGACTCATGCTGACTCACGGGTCTTGGACTCCAGGAGGGGCAGGGAGCTTCTCTGTTTCCCAATGCCACTTCCTTCCTCTTCCAAACTCCCAGTTCTCGACTTTGTCACTTAGTCCTCATCAGCGCTGTCAACTTGTCAACTGCCAGTGAGTCCTGCCTTCACTGGCACGGCTGGCTTACTGCCGCCCACTCTAACTCTGCCCTACTGTGGGCGCCTTCAGCGCCTGTGAGGGCAGCTCACCACCTCCAGCCCACCTCCGCCACCCTGCCCACTCTGCCGTGCTCACCATGGACCCACCTTGGCAACTGCAGGGAGGGCACTGCGCCAATGGCCTCACTTGACACGTGTTACCAGTTTTCCAGTCCACAAAAGCACCTGGCAGGCCACTGCACTCACTTACGTTTTCTTCTCAAGGCCCAAAATGACTTTCAAGAGGCCCTCCCTTCACGAGTCACCCTACCATACTCCTATTCAATGAAGACGATGGACGTGCTCAGGACCAGAAGTTCACCCTCGGCCAGCAACTGAGATCATGATCTTCTGCTTAAACCTCTGCGGCAGCCTCCCTGTCTGCTTCAACACCCCATACTTCTCTCCCTACACAATTCTGGCCAGCCTGGCTCGTCGTGCACACACCTCACTGCTCCTTCAGGCCTGGCATGTTCGCGCTCCTCTCACCCTGCGCTCCCAGCCCATGACACAAACACCTCTCCACTTAAGCGTCACATCCTCAGGAAGGTCATGAGGCCTGCAGCTGCCCCTCCAAAGCCATGCTAACGAGTTTATCAGGCGGGCATCTCATACACCGTGTCTCGGCAGCCCGCCCCGCTCACCTCTGAACATTGGGTTGCTCTCGGGGGTGCTGGCCACGTTGAAGGCGAACGGTGTGCTCTGGCCAGCCACGCCCAGGCTGCTCTGAGTCAGGGCCCCACCAAAGGGGGTGGTGGCGCCCGTGGTCCCACTCTGTCCGGCTCCAAAACTGAATGCTCCTGAGGTGGAGCTGGTGCCTGGGGCAGCCACCCCAAGCCCGAAGCCCCCACTGCTGCTAGCCACGGCCCCTGACACCCCGAAGGTGAAAGGGGATGGCACAGAGCTGCTGAACACAGAGCTGCTGGTCCCACTGCTGGTGGTCTGGGTGGTAGCTCCGAAGCCCGAGGTGGTGGCCACACCGAAGGAGAAAACTGCCGTGGAGCTGCCGAAGGCTGGCTGTGTGCTGGCAGGGGTGCCAAACGCAGAGGCTGTGGCTTTCAAACTGCCAAACGCTGACTGCGTAGAGCCGCCAAAGGCAGGCTGGGCAGAGGCCAGGGCCAGGGCCGGGACCGGAGCCGGGGTGGGGGCCGGGGCCGCAGAGTTCCCAAAAGTGAAAGAGCTGCCAAAGCTGGGAGCGAGGGCTGGCGCAGTGGACCCCTGCTGCTGCCCATCCACAGCCCCGAAGGTGGGCTGAGAGTTGGCCCCTGGGTACGGCGGGGGTAGGACAGGGGGCTTGGTGCCCGAACTGAAGGGAATGTTGAATGCTGGGGTGGCTGTGTGACTGAACGTCAGCGTGGACTGGCTGGTGGTGACCGGGGCTGGGGTGGTGAGGGCACTGCTGAAGCCACTAAAGCCAGCAGTGCTGCTGCCGCTGCTGCTGCTGGCGGCTGTCTGAGCAGTGCCAGGAAGGGACTGGCCAAAGCTAGTGACAGCCGTGGACTCAGGCATGGCGGGAGACTTGCCGAACTGGAAAATGGAGGGCATGGCTGGGGTGAAGCTGGCGGCAGAGGTGGGAAGGGCCCCAAAGAGGAAAGGCTGAGCAGTGGAAGCAGTGGTGCTAGTCGTGCTGCTCAGGGTGCTGGCCTCGCTGTTCGTCCCAAAGCTGAAAGTGAGCTTCAAAGTAGAGTCTGTGGAGGTACTGGCTGTGGTGACAGAAGCCACCGTGGAGGCAGCGGTGGACAGGGCAGGGAAGAGAGAGGCGGTTGTGGCCGCAGTAGTGACTGGAGCAGGTGTTGGCTTGAAGAAGGGAGCTGACAAGGGGACAGATGTAGGTGGCCCCATGTTGTCAAAGATGGGCTTGAAGGTTGGGGTTGCAGTGCTGGTTGTGGCGGGGAGGGTGGCGCTGGAGGAGGTGGTTGCTGTGAGGTGGGTGCCAGACAGCAAGGGCCCATCACTCTCAACTTTAGGTGGTGGCTCAAAAATGGGCTTGAACATGGGAGAAGCAGAAGACAGGCTGGGAGTGGCGGCGGCGGCGGTGGTGGCAGCAGGGGTGGTGGGGGGGGTGGCAGGGCTGGAAGGCAGGGGGCTCAGCATCTCAAATGGTGCGCTCTGCTTGGGAGCAGGAGCAGGAGCCGGGCCGGGGGGCGTGGGGACTTTGGCACGTGTCTCAGCCTGAGCGACTGGAGGTGGCTTGGTGTCGGTGACTGGGGCTGTGGAGACAGCAGGGGCCAGCCCCAGGAGGGTGGCTGTGGGTTTTGTGTCTGAAGAGGCGCCTGGCAGGGGTCCGGATAGGGAAGAAGCTACAGGGGCCAAGAGGCCGGCTGTCTTCAGAGGGGTAGAGGCCATGGAGGCTGCCACTCCTGCAGGTTCTGGGAAGGAGAGGAAAAAAGGTGAGTTCCAAAGACTTCTACAGGGTGGTGTGCAACATGTGTGCCCTCCCAGAGCCACCACTGTGCTGGGGATCCAAGAGCCAGTCGGGAAACTGAGCAAGTCTATGTCACAGACCCGCAAAGGCCATCAAGGAGGCATTCCTACTTCCACAGACCATCAGACAGACAGACGTGACCAGGGCCTAATGGGGGTGACAAGTGTGAGGACAGAGGGCAGTGCAATCCTCAGAAGCCCAGCTACTCACCCAGACGTCTCTTACTCATCTACCACAGATGTACCTGCCCCCTTACCAACTGCATGCTAAGTGCAGAGCTGGTGTGCCGAGTCCTGGAGAGGCGACACCACAGCAGCACGCTCTCTAGCAAAGCCAAGGGCACAGTTTGGCATGTGTTGTGCCATGAAGGAGTGGGCCTGCATGACCCCTGTAAGGACCTGTGGCCTAGGAGCCCACAATGTCCTAAGGGCACTGCCACACTCAAATGGCAGATACCTCACAAGGGCTGTGTCATTCTTTCACAGACGACAACAGCAGATAGGGAACTGGACTGCAAACCCAAGTCGCCCTCCTCAGCTTTAATTCTGTGTGGCAGGACACTGTCCCTCACATTTTCCTAAATTTCTTTTTTTTTTTTTTTTGGTATCAGGGATTGAACCCTCACATTTTCCAATAGAGAACTTGGAAGCAGTGCCACCCTCAGGGCTCCGAAGCGGGAGGAGGTCTGAATTCAGAAACAACCCCAGCACCCACTGCTGGATGTGTCTCGCAGGCTCAGCTCAGCACCCATTCAGAGGCGCCTGGCTCACCTGAAGATGGTGAGCCCAGGGGACTCTGCACCTTCTTCAAGCTGTCCAGTAGGGGGTTCGAGCTGGGTGTCAGGGACGCCGATGGGAACTCAGGCACCCCAGCAGGCGGGGAGAAAGTGAAAGAAGGCTGTGTGGTGGCTGGGCTCTCAGTGACAGAGTTCGAGGCAGCATCTATGGAAGAAGGACAAGATCAAACTCTTGCCTGGCTCGGGAACTCTTTCCAGACAGCAGGGGTAGCTCTGGGCCTAGTGTAACTTTGTCCAGAAATGCTTTCCCCCAAGTTTCAGTGAACCTCTGAGCAGGTTTTTCAACTGAGAGAGAATGAAAAGAAAATGAGCAGTTGTTCCAGGGAAATCCTTTCCCATCAAACCTAAGGAGACAAACACTTCCAAGCCCTCTGCAATATCCACTGAGCTACACTTCTTACCGGCTTTGTCCTCCAGGACTTTGTTAAACCACTGTAGTGAAGCCTTCTTCTCCAGGTCCAGGTCTTCTGCAGTGACGGAATAACCAAGCTCAGGCGGGGGAGGCTGCCAGCAAGAACAAGGAGAGGTCAGGCTGATGCGAAGGAATCGTAGGAAACTTGCATCTAGCCTTCCCCAGACAGAGGACTGGTGGGAGGGTGACAGGCAGGAGGTACCAAGGTCAGCCGGTCCCCACGCCTGCATGGCAGCAGCTGAATCTTCCGTTTCCGCCGCCCAGAGCTGACAGGTGTAGATGGGGAAGTCCAGGAGTTCTGCTGCTTGCAAGTGGTTGACTCGGCAACTAACGGGAAACAGAGGCCGGGGATTTAGCTCAGTGGTGCTGCTGCCTGCCTTGTAAGCGGCAAGGTCCCAAGTTCGATCCCCGGTACCAAAACCAAAACCAAAACAAAACACCTAAAGAGAAACAGAGGTGCTGGCTTCCTTTCTTCTCCCAGGAAGGGAGTTTTATGTAGCCACTGGTGTTTTGTTAGGTTTTCTGAGACAGGGTCTTGCTATGTAGCCCACACTGGCCTTGAACTCACAGCAAACCTCATGCCTCACCCTTCCCTCAGCCTCCTGAGTGCTGGGATTACAAGCGTGAACCTCTACACCCGGCTTAGCCTGGTTTTTAACAGTTGTCACTGGGTCTCTGAAGATTTTTCTCTTCCACAACTGGGGTACCTGGATAGTGTTTGCAAGTATATTTCCAACAGTCAAGAGGAAATAAAGAAAACAACTCCAAGTGCATGCATCCAACTGCTTCCCAGATGGGCCTGCCCCAGACTGCTCAGATGCCTCATCCTGAGCTGACCCAGGCAGACCCATCTACTTCGGGGCTGCTTTCTCCCCTCTCCCATCACCTCTGCAGGGCAGGAGTGCTGCTCCACCTGTTTTCAAAGGCAGGAATCTGCATTTCCTCACCTCCCCCCCCACCACCGCCAGTACCGCAGCCACTGTGGCTGCTCAACAGCTCACCCCTTTCTCCCTGGGACTCCTTGTCCGTCACCAGTGGAGTTGAAGAACTGGCATGATGACACGCCTCCTCTTCTCTATAGGGATTTTGAAAGGCAGAATTCAGTTCAGACAGACTTCTGGACCTAAGCACTGGACAAATAGTGCCTCATACTCTCCTCCCTACTGAGTGGCCATGACTCATCTGTATGTTAGAACAAAAAAGGTCAAAAGAAAATTCCTGCAGAAATGAAGGGAGCACTTCATGAAGGCTGGGGAAATCTCTTGTCTTAAACCAAGAGCAAAACATAAACCTTCAAAAACTTACAATCTGACAAGTCCAGAGAGTCCCAGGCTCCGATGTGATGCCTGAGGGAGTGGAGCTGCATGCAGTGCCACGAAGCACCCAGGGCCAGGGCCAGGGTCAGAGGGCTCCCGCCCACAGACACAACCCACCCTGCGCCCCAGCGGCCCAGCTGGAGTAGGAGGCACACACAGGGCCTCGCAGTACCAGGCCCTTCACTGGCCTTTAGCACTGAAGTCCTGTGACTCAAAGTCAGAGTCACACAAAGACCAAGAGTGGGGTCCATGTCCCCTTCTCTCCCCACTCACTCGCCCACTCAGCAAACGGTAAGAGGAGGAGATGCTGATCACCTGGTCTTCTTGGCTGGCCTCTCCGGGGTCTGCGAGCGGGAGGAGGCGGGGCTGGAGAAGGGGGAGGAAGTGGGTCCGCTCCTCTTCCGCAGCTGGAAGTCAAGAGAGACAGGACTGAGCCTCATAATAACAGAGCATCTGACCCATGCTGTCATTACGTGGTCTATTCATCACTGCACAGAAAGTTTCTTTTTAAGTGATTAAGAAAATCTTTATGAAAAAGGATCCTTGAAAAGCCAGGTGTGGTGGCACATGCCTGTAATCCCAGCACTTGGGAGGCTGAGGCAGGATAGCAGCAAGTTAGAGGACAGCTTGAACTAAACAGTGAGACCCTGTCACAAAGAAAAAAAAAAAAGGAAAAAAGAAAGAATGAAAGAAAGAAAGAAAGAAAGACAGATTGATCCCTGTAAAAAGAGTCAACTGGCAGTATTAATTATAGAAGCAAGCTGGGGATTTAGCTCAGTGGTTTCGCTGCCTGCTGCACAAGCGCAAGGACCCAAGTTCCATCCCCGTTACTAAAAAAAAAAAAAAAATTATAGAAGCAAAAGAAAAGTCTAGAGAGGTAGAGGAATGTTAATGCTAACTAATAAACACAGAAAGAACGAATGCACTTTGCCATATATTGGAAAGTGGAATGTTACACTGACTTTCTAATATACTGTATTCTACAAGAATCAGTCTGTGCCCATTAAAGGATTAAAAAGGAGAAGGAAAGGGAACATTATAGAGTCACACACACGCACACTAAAGAAACAAGAAGCTCAGACAGGTGACTACACACACAGTTCTGCACACTCTTTTCTATAATTTTGAGCTACATCCTCAGGCCTTTTTATTTTTTAAAATTTGGGGACAGGGTCTCACTAAGTTGCCCAGGCTGGCCTTGAACTTGCAATCTTCCTGGCTTGGCCTCCCAAGTAGGTGAAATTACAGGCATGCACCATGCCTACTCTATAAATTTCAGAGATCATTCACAGGAGTACCTATTAAGCTGCCTTATTATTTTTAATAGTTACACAGTATTTTTTTTTCTTTTTTCTGATACCAGAGATCAACTCAGGACCTCACACACTGAGCTACATCCCTGGCCCAGTTACATAGTATTTCAAAGCTTACAAAAATATTATCACTCAACCAGGCCCCTGAGAAGGTACATAATTACTGTTTCCAAGCTTCTGCTAATAAAATGTTATAATCAACTCCTTGTGCTTCTCTCAGTACATGTAGGATAACTTCCTAAACAAAGTGGCTGGCTACAAGGGCATGAGCTCCTCTAATGCAGACCAAGTCCTCCACAAGTCCACTACAGAGGACAACTGACCCTCCCACCAGCAATGCTCAAGAACCCTGTCTGATACTTCTGTAGTTTCAACTTTACTTTTAAAGCTTAATTTGGAATAGGTTTTTGGGACATATGAAAAGCTTTTGAAAATGAGAAAAGACAAGTAGCCCTTCAGAAAAATATGCAAAAGATATGAACAATAACAGGAAGAAAAGTGAAAATAATACACTAACTTATGAAAAGGTGATCAAAGTCATTCAGGAGAGGAGAATTAGACACTATTCTTCACTTGTCACTTGGGGACAACCCAGAGTTATGACAACCTCACCGCCCCTCTCCAACATGCCGATGCGAATGTAGACAGGACACGCTCTCTGGAGGGGAAGCAAGACCTCACATGTATCTCACCTTTGACCTGGGAACCTGACTTCCAGGACTCTATCCCTGAAGTGCAGCTGCCAAGTGTGAACAGACAGGGAAGGAGAAATATTCTTTGCAGCACGGTTTGTAACAGCCCAAGACTGAAACAACCCAACATTTCTCAACAGAGGACTAGATAAGCCAGGCAGTTGTACTACTATATCAAGAGGTTTTATTCTTAGTTACTCCTCTCGTTGCTGACACAATACCTGACACCCAAAGTTAAAGGAGGAAAGGTGCCTTTTGGCTCACGGTTTGTAGACAGGCACGACAGGCATCCAGAGCAGAAGATACGCAGCAGCAATACATAATAAGCATAGTGAGCAAGGAGCCCTCTTTTGGTCTATCTTATCCAAACTACCAGCACTTAGGGCAGGCACACTCACACCCAGGGTGGGGTGCCCTTAATCCTATCCAGAACTACGCCAACCAATGGTGGACTGACTTAGTAGCCATACACCTTGATTCCAGCACCACACACTCTAGATCCAGCCACCTCTGAAAAGCCCCACCTGTGACTGCATAAGGCTCTGGGGAGACATCTAGACACAGCCATAACACGTTTAAAGATATACACACTCATAGGAGAGGAAGGAAATAATGTGAAGTGAAAAGGGAAGAGATTTCTGGATTTCTCTGTATCTTGTCTTGCTGTTTTTTCAAAATAATTTAATTCGGAATTAATCCCAAATCAAAAAGAAAAACAAATCTCTACAGCCTTAAAAATACCAAATTCATGAACCTCAGTGTAGATAAAGGTGGCAGTATAACCAAGTGACTTCATTCCTGTTCCTTTAAGATACAGTATTTTGACTGTGTATCCCTAGTATTCAGAGACATAGACTAAAAGTAAAATGAATGACAAAAGCCTCACTGTTAATAATGACAGTGATATTATTTTGTAATCGTGTACCAGTATCAACCAAGTAAGTGATTATGAACCAACATTTTTGGTGTAAGAATACATAAAAATATAAAATCAAAGAAATTTTACATAAAGATTCTGCCATCTTTAAAAGTGAATTTGAAATATCATTATGAACAATGATTTAGATTCCTCTTTCTTGGAGGTCTGTACATCTATTTCTGCTAGAACTCAGTCTGTATTCTTTAATACTGTTTCCACTGGAAGAAACCAAGGCTATTTGAAGAAACAACCAACTTCCTCTGGGGTGGAACTATACAAGATGGATTCTGGGAGGAAAGGAGCAAAAAGCAACATAACTATCACACTGCTGGTGTCTAAACAAAAGGATACAAGAGCCAGTTTGAGATTGCTCTTACCAGCCCAAACTGAAAAAGTTTACATAGCAAAAAGAACAACTGCATAGTTGAATATGGTGACGCATACCTATGATCCTAGCACTCTGGGAGATGGAGGCAGAAGGACTGCAAATACAAACTCAGCCTGGGGAATTTAGTAAATCAGCAGGACTTTGTCTCCATGCGTAAATAAGGACCAAAATGGATGACAGATATTGGAAAGTAGGAAGAAAATGTTCAAATGGGAAGGGGAATGGGGTGGGGGATAGAAGGAAAAAATGAACACAAAGCTTTTGTAAATACGGAGGGGAAGAGGGCTGAAGGGAAGGGAGGGGATATGGGGAAAAAAAGAATTAAAATATATTATGTAGAGGAACAAATTCCCTATGATGAATGTGATCATTATCTATATCAAAAGTATACCAGTAAAATTTTTTTGTAAATTAAAGGAGCTGCGCATGGTGGCACACACCTGTAATCCCAACACTCTGGGAGGCTGAGGCAGAAGGATCACAGGGTTCAAGCCTAGCCTAGGAAACTTAGGGAGACCCTGTCTCATAAAAAATAAAAAAGGGATGGGAATGTAGCTCAGGGCAAAGGCTCTGTGTTCAATCTTCAAAATCACCAAACCAAGGGCTTGGAATTTAGCTCAGTGGCACCATGCCTGCAAGGGCTGAAGGTCCTGAGTTCGATCCCCGGTACCACACACACACACACACAAAACCAACAAAAAAAAATCACACACCAAAACAAAATTGAGAAATGTGAAATACTTACACAAATTCAGAAGTTCATGAAGATAGATAATTAAGAGCAACAGTGAAAATCCTACTGGCCACCCTGGCATGAGTTTCGGCACCAACACCCTCTCAGCCTACCGTTTCTGCAGGAAGGATGTGTTTCTGCACATACATTTAATAAGCAGTGGGAAGGAAGAATCTGAGCATCACCATGTTGCATCCTACAACAGTGTACCCAGGTAAAGCTGATATCTGGCTGACAAAAGCAGCAGATAAAGAGCCCACAGGAAAATTAAAACGAACAAGTCACAGTGACAACACTGAACCAGCGATCAACATGTATACCGTTGAAGTGGGGAGTCCGACATCATTTGCCTCCTGTAGGGGGAGATTAGAGGGACACAGGAAAAAAATACAGGACAAAACCTGATGACTAACACTGTAAAATCATCACGCTTACTTGTGTATCACGTTCTTGAGAAAATATACCCTACTGTATCCTTATGAGAGTGTTACTCACATTTACCGTCTGCTGACCTTGTCCCCATCCCAGAAACAACAGCTAAGACCCTGACTGGCCTAAACCACACCAATCAGTGAAACAGTTATTTTCAGAAGTCAGCTTACCCACCCTGTAAGGATCAAGTACACCTCAAATGTAGCTCTTGCAGCCCACTGTGCTGCTAAGATAGCTCTTCTGCTTTCTCTGCATTTGCCATACTTTAAATAAACTTTCATTTCGCACTGTACCAGTCCTAACTCCATTTTTCACTAAGAGCTCTACTTCATTCTTCGCCAGAGTGAGGGCAAGGACTGGAAGAGAGGCGGAGGGTCACTACAGGGGAACCCTACTCCCACCCCGCGGGACACAACAGAAAAACACACACAGGACCACCTATGAGTACTCTGCCCAAAGAACTCAATTTGAACCCTAGCAAGCACGAGGGTCCAACTGTTCACTTACGTGGGAAATGGGAGAGAGCACATGTACACAACAGTATCAACTAAGTTCAGAATGGGACATTCTGCAGAAGAAAATGATTCTTTTTTTTTTCTCCAAAAGCATGAACAGAAGTAGAAGCATTATACATTTAAAAAGCCTAAGAGACAAACGTGATGAACTGAATTTTGGTTCCCAGTTCAAAGTATCTGTAACAAGATAATTTCGAGTAATAACAGGAATTTGACTCTAGAGTGATATTAACTACTATTAAAGAGTTATCGCTTAAGAGGGATAATGGCATTATGATTGTTAAAAAGTTTTTAACAGTTAAAAATATAACATAGTACCTATAGATGAAATGACATGTTTGCAATTTGCTTTAAAACATAAGAGTACAAGCAAATTGGGGAAACTGATGGAACAAGATTAAGAAAATGTTGGTAACTACTAAAGCTACATGGAGGTTCATTATGCTATTTTCTTCGTTTTGGCAAACGTGTGAAACCTTACATAATAAAAAGATTTAAAAATTAGGGATTGGTGTATCCTCAGTAGGGCTGCTACGGAGATGGAAGAAATGCACAGGGAGCGCTTAGTGCAGGGCCTTGCAGTGAGTGAGCGTCAGAGCAAAGGCTGCTACAGAGCCCTCGTTGTCTCACTCCACACCCACCGCTCACACGCGTCCCTGCCAGGGCCTCTTAGATTGATGACCTTGTCTGAAAATGTTCTCCCCTCCAAATCCTTCTCCATGCAGCTGCCATCTTTTTTTCTAGCTACAAGCTACAACACAGAGTACCCACTACTGCTAGGCACTGCAAGGTTTTCAAACATTACCTTCAGTGACTGCAACAACCCTTCAGAGAGAAGGAAAAGGAATTTAAATGATTTATCCACTCAAGACCCTATAGCTACTAAGTATGAGAGGCAAGATTTGCACCCAAGCTTTCTGGCAGCAAAGCCTTTTGTCTTCTCTACACTATACTATAATCCCCTTTCTAAACAATAAGAATTATGACTTTTTTTTTGAGACAGGGTGTCACTTAGTTCAAGCAGGCCTAGAACTCAAGATTCTCCTGACTCAGCTTCCCAAGTGCTGGAATTATAGGCATGTGTTATCATGGCCACCTTGAATTATGACTTGTTTAAAATTTTCGCACTAAATTCTACCTGCTTATAGGCTAAATCTCTTCTATGGCCCAATGCTAACCAGATGCAATCTAACTTTTCAATCCAATTAATGCCATTTATTGAGTTGTTCTTCCTTTGTCCATTTATCTGCAATAATGATGCTACAGTAATACCTTGGTTCATGAATGCTTGTTTTCAAACAATTCAGTTCACAAACAAAAGCATTTGGCAAAATTTTGTTTTCATTCACAAACTGTGCATTGGATGACAAACACAACCACAGCCATTGTCCCAACCCAAACACAAACGTGGCCATGTCCCCAAAAGCATAAAACAAATTTAGTTCATAAACCAAGGTACCACTGTACTTCTATCAGGCTTATCTTCTGAGCTTTCTATTCAGTTCTCTTGGTCAGTGTTTTATTTTATTTATTATTTGAGGCTTTGTGTGTCCTGTCAGCCGAAAGATGATCCCAGCATCAGCTAGAAGGCAGTCAGTATTCCCTTGCTCACCAGTTCATGGTGGCAGGAACCCACGCCCCGCAGCAGAGCTGCCACTGTACCTGTGCGAGGCCTCGGGTGGAGCTGTAAGAGCTGGTGATGGCATTGCGGCTGGAGCTGCGGATGCCCCCTGTGCAGGTGCTTGTCAGGGAGCTCAAAGAAGAGGTGCGTGAGCGTTTATTCAAGTGGTCATCTGAACTCTGGGAAGTAAGACCTCGCTTCAAGGTGCCAGGCCTAACAAAAGGGCAAAGTCCGACGTGTTACTGAAGGCAGTGTTTTTTAAACAAACTTTTATTGGCACATTTTAGATATATATAATAACATTCATCATAGAGAGAATTTGACCTGTACATGATATATCTTGCTTTTTTCCCCTTTCCCTCCCCTCCCTTCAACCCCTCTTCCTCCCCTCACTTACAAAAGCTTTGTTTCCATTTTTTCCTTTTCTTTTTTTTCCTTTCCCTTTGTTTTCCCTTCCCCTTTGAACATTTCTTCCTATTTCACAATATCTATTACACATTTTGGTGAAGGCAATGTTCTTGAAGATGTCATCCTGGTTATGATGCCTTTCTTAGTAAACCGTAAGGGAAGAGAATACTCTGAATTTGCACTAACAATCTGGCTAAGTTATCTGAGACAGTCAGTGGGGAGAGCCAGATACTTAAATGTGACTCTGCGTACACAGTCTAGAAAATACATCCTAATCTACAGTGACACCAAGCACACCAGTGGATGCCTGGGGCTGGATGGGCCTGGAGGGAGGGAGTAGAGAAGGTTTGATAATGCATAGATACTTCAACAGCCTGAGGGTAGTAACAGCTTCACAGGGGCACACATGGCAAAAGTTAAAAGTCTGCACTTCAAACAGAAAGTTTATTATTTATTAGTTATACCGTAATAGTAGTTTTTAAAAAATTAGAGTTAAGAGGAAGCAACCAATGTTTTGAAGCCTCCAACAGAAATAAATTCCCTATACATCCTTCCTGCTACAATACAGTCAATTCCCACTGCCTCCCAGTTACCACTACATTAAGATCTAGCTCCTCAGCTTTCACCCAGGTTCTTACTTGGAGCCAAGAGAGGTTAGCCTGGCTCTCACATGACCGTCCTTTTGCTTCTGGAGGACCCTCAATCTTCCTTTCCTTACTTCCTCTGAGACTGTTCCCGGGCCAGTCCTTTTGTACCTTCAAACCCTCCTCACCCACGAGGCTCCAAGTCCCCTGAACATCTTGCTGGTTTGTGTCAACCTCCCCCGTACTGCAATACAACAAACTGACTCCAATGCTCCAGGAAGTCTGACCAGAACTCCAGGAAGTGGGATGACCACTACTGCCTCTCTAGTCTTCTTCTGACAGCACAGACTAGGAGCACAGTGGCTTTTCTGGCAGCCACACCATACTGCTGACTCAAAGGAAACATATGCTACCCTATTTTCACACATAGCCTTGAGCCACTTTCTCTTCTATTCAGTTCTTCCTCCAATATGTTTTAAACACAAATGTAGAAATTTAGTATTTATTGTTCATATTAATTTTTCATGTTGTATTTCATCTACTGCATAAGCCTTGCAATTGTTTATATACCTGGGTATCAATTACATTTACAAACACTCTTAGCCTCCCTTAGGGTATTTCACTCATATTAATGCAAAAAATGTGAAAAGGAACTAGATAGTTAATTGTGACAAGTTACTTAAGACATTCCTCTGATTTCAAAGATGTGAACCTGAATCAATTAAGCAATGAAAAAAGCAAAGAAGACAATCTACAGGGCAACAGCTGTGATCATACCCCTCTTCCAAACAGTTGCTACTTCACCCAAATGGACTTGCACTTACTTAGGCACGAAAGAAGCGGGGACTCCATTGGCCACCAGGGGCTCAAATGCCGAATGTCCACTCCCACTGCTATCATGGCGCCTAGATAAATCAAAACCTTCTCAATGAGATAACATGACTTCCCCTGCTTAAAGCATATTCTTCTACTTCTGAGACCTATACAACCTCTATGTTTCAAATCCCTAAACTTCCAAAAGGCAAATCTAATCTAAGGTTGCCCTGGTAATAAGAACAGTAAGAAAGTATGTCAAGACCTTTCAAACGTATCAGTTTTCTTATGTGCTAACTTTATGTTAGAGTATTATAATCATAAAATTAACACCTCCCAAATTAAAAAAAATCAGGGACCAATCCACACTCCTCACAGTGCCCCAGAGGGTAATATGCCAGCCAAGTCTGTTGGGAAAACTTTTCTACATATCACATGTAAGAACATGTATGTGGTACACTGCTAATTCCAATTACAGAAGATACCACTGAATCCTTAACTGTAAGTGCACAGGGCTGGAGAAAAAGTATCACCTTGGAGAACATGAGAAACCTATGTGGACCATAAGGCTGTCATTTCTTCCCCACCACCTGCCATTTCTGCTTAGCTGGTTGATATTAGCATGAACTACTCACTTGCTGCAACGTAATCCCTATCTTTAGTTACCATTACCTGATTTTTCTACATTACATAAATATAAATGCATTTATGGACATTTCCCTCATTTAATTCTGCCATCTACAGTATCAAAGATGGTCAACTTTGAAACTTCAGATACGAATAATCTGGTTTAGGTAGTGGAGATGATAGTTATATTTTTCAGTTATGGGGTTCACCTGTCTTCTTGGAGAGCTCTTTCTTCAAGACTTTTAGAAGGAAGCTATCTTCTCATTATTCTTACTGCTCTGTTTTGCATCCATACACTTGCAATCTATAATTACCTTATTCATTTTGTCATTTAAAAAAATTCCCTGTCTCCCTTAAGAAGAGACCCACAGGGCAGGGATTGTCTAGTTCATGCTCCATCCACCTGGAACAGTCTTAGGGGGCACTCAATTGATATTTGATGAATTAAAAAAATAAGTGGAGGATTGGGGATATAGCTTAGTGGTATTTTGCCTAGCATGCATCAGACCCCGAGTTCAATCCTTGTCAAAAACAAACAAAAAACATCCACTAGTAGAACCCTTAACTGACTCCCTTGGAAAGCCACAAATGGTCCTGTATCCTAACTGCCTCTTCAACCTCCTCTCTGTATGCAGGAAACTTTTTATTCTGTTTTAAGTTATTATACAACCTAAAGAAGGACAGTGGTTTTTACTCTCTTATCACTGACAAACCTCCTATACTCTAGTTTTCCCTCTGCCATGACACACATTTCCTTCAGCAGAGTAATGACTGCTGGTTATCCAGATAATGAACAGCACAAAATTGTGAGAAGACTCTGAACGTTCATTCTCAAAAATAAACTTTAACATATTTGGATCAAAGCAAGAAGCCAATGTGGCTAAGAGTCAACAGCTTATCTCTACTACTTCTGGAAAACGAACATTATAAAATGTACCTGAACTATGCCTTAGGAAGTGATTAGCATTCAAGTCCTTACTACCAGGCTCTTCCATGAAAGCCAAAGAAGGGGCTCACAAACTGCAGTTGGTTGACTTATCGTTTTGGGAATGACACACATTTTAATAAATTCTCAGTAGTCTACATGGGAGGCTCATTTAGTATTCTGCTGGGCCTATTACCTTCTTTTATTTTCCTGGGCATCAACGAGTATTTGGTCTTCTTCCTCCACGTTCCTTTTCCTCCTCTCTTTGAGGGCATTCAGTACAGTCTCCTTTGCACATGGGTCTGCGGCATTACTTGCTGGTGAGGACAGTGTTGAGTTGACTATCTGCTCGGACCTGCAATGAAAGGTAACGTTCTAACAGTGAGTTAAAACAATTACCAGGCCACACAACACAAAGTTAAAGTCACCAGAAGCCAACAAATGAGCAAAAACATCATTTATACACTCACAGAAATTATCATTAGCAATGAAAGCTAGTGTCAAGGGCCAAAAAAATAAATGAAGGTTTCACTAGAATTTGGGAATTTTCATTCAAATAAGCAGCTGCCTTCTTTTCTTACACTATAGCCGTTTTGTCAGAGAAAGGAATGTAGAAGAACAGATACAAAGTGGGAGGACTCTTCCAATAATACTCACATTGGAGCACGAGGTGGTTTGCTGTCTGGAGGTGCAATCCTCACAGTCACTGGGCTACACACCATCCTTGAGTTGTGAGTAGACAGCATGGGCTTCTTATGACAACCATTCCAGCACACTGTGGGCAGGACCCCCAGTAAGGAATACTGGGCTTGCTGGATCGGATAATGTCTTTGAGGCGTTATTACAAACCGATTGGATAAAGTCCCATAATCCCTACAGAAAAAGGGAGACATATCATGGAACCAAAGAAACTTAAAAGAATGTCAGAAAATGTAAATGGCTAAAGAACCAGCCAGCTTAAGTCTCTTTCTAAGCAAAATAGAACACAGTAGTTTCATGACAACTTTCCCCTTGTCCATCTAAGGGTAGAAAGTGACAGCTGCTTAACAGCTGCCTCTACCACAGACTTCAGTGATTTCACAGGGAAACTGAAAACCTTGGTAACACAAGTACTGTGGGAAAAATGGAGATGATGATGTGTGCTGGGAGGGATTTTTCAAGAATTTTTCACTTGTTTGTGCTAAATCATAATATGCATTTAAAGTCAAATATTTTCAACCCTAGTTCATTAAAATATTTTCAACCCTAGTTCATTTTCTTAACTAAATATATTAATCAAGAACCCAACATTTTCACCAACTTTTTATATTCTCTTGTATCATTCAGCTCTTGGGACTAAATGAAAATGTGCTAACTTGATCAGCTCTGTTTGAGTTTTTTTTCAATCAAAGAGGTATTTCCTGGGACACCTGTTTGAGCTCCATCCATATCATTTCTCTTAACAGCCCAAAGACAAAAATGTTGCCAAACAAACTATACGACTAAACTTGAAAGGACTTTTTCACCGGAAGGAGAGATATTTTAATAGTTAAGTATTCTGCTAAATGCAAACTGCACTATCAAATACTTCTAAGAACTGGAGAGCAGTGTGTGGTGGCTCCCGCCTGTAAACCTGCACTTTCGAGCCTGAGGCAGCAGGATCATAAATCTGAGCCCAACCTAGCCACCTCAGCGAGTTTAAAGCCCGCCTGAATTATATAGCAAGACTTTGTCTGAAAACAAAACAGAACTAGAAAGCAGGATTTTAGCAATACGTCTCGAAAGAGTCAGAGGAAGGCAGGTGACGCCTGACAAACACCAAGATTTCCTTAACCTTAAAAAGGTCAAAACCACAGAATCCACTTTGGACTCCAGGAAGAAGAAAATCAGATTTAGAAGTCACATCCTCGGCCAGTCTACTGGCAGGGTTATCTGGGAAGATCGGCTGGTCTTACCGGTGGGAAGGTCTCCGGGAGGGTCGGTGGAGAGGGGTGGGGAGAGAGGGGTAGATGTGGTGGTGAGCGCGACGGGCCGCGGGAGCTGGCGGCGGGGTGCTGGCGGGTTGCGGGCGGCGGGGCCTCTCCCGCGGGTCCCTGCCCTTGGCTGCGGGCGCTGGCTGCGGCGGGCCAGGCTTGCCCAGGTAACTGCCCATGAGGAGCAGCTCGGCGGGGTCGGGTCCTTCGAGCGGAGTCCTCGGCTCTAGGAGACTTCCGTTCACTGCGGACTTGGCTGGAGGCGAGGCGAGAAACGTACGGTGGCGCCTCGCGTTCCGCACGAGCGAGGACAAGGCGCGCGAACCTCGGGGCTCGCGGCTCAGTCCCCACCAGGCCGCGGTAGCCCCCACGGCCAGCCAGGCCAGAGCCGCTGCCGCGGGCACCAGGTACAACACGAGGCCGAACAGCGACAGGCCGAGCAGCGCCGCCCCGGCCGGCCCGCCGCGACCACGGCCCCGACCGTCCCTGGCACTCGCTATGGGCCGCCGCCGCTCGCCTCCTCCAGCCGCCGTAACCGCCGGAGACATCGCGGCTCCGCGCCGCGGAGAAGACTTAAATATCCCAGCGTGCACCGCGCTGCGCGCTGCGCGCTGCGTCACCACGCGCCGGGTACGTCACTGCGCGCGACTCCCGGGAGACGCGGCTGCCTGGCGACACCCGAGAACCTACAGCTTTTGAAAAATGCAGCTTCCCGCGTGGCTTTCGCGCGGTCCTGTGGAAGAATCGCGTTAAATGGGAAAGCACCTCTCAAATGTTAGCGCACATTTATGATCCCGGCACTCTGGAAAGCTGAGGCAGGAGGTCCGTAGGTTCGAGCCCAGCCTGGGCAAATTAGCGAGACCCTGTGTCCAAAAAAACAAGCTGGGGATGGGGATGTGGCTCAGTTCGACAGCCCTAGGTTCGATACTCAATACCACAGAATAAAGAACTAGAGGAGCGTCGCTGTACACGCAGTTCTTCATATTTTTAGGGGTTAAGCTAAATACATTTTTCTAAAAGTGGAGCACAGCGCACATAATTCTCCATCCATGTTTTCTAGGGGTTAAACTCTCCTCCAGCAATGTGCTGGAGGGAACTTGTCACAGTTGCTACCAGAGGTTGTGAGTTTTCTCACTTACCTTGTTTTCTGCCAAAGTATACAATGCTATCTACCATGAGACAGCAAGGCAAAACCAACCACCCTTGTTAAATGTGGATCTAGTTCTAACAAACTGAAGATTTGACATGAAGCTGCTGCTTTAGTCCCCAAATTTGAGTGTCTATAGTGAAGCAAAACTTGGAAGAAAGTCAGTTTTTCTTAAGGTTTCTCCCAGCTTAACAGTTTCCCTCTCAGATTCCTCCTCCTCTGCTGACCTCTGTTACAGACAAGATAAATAACAAAATTCTTGCAAACAGAGTCCTGTGATGTCCTAGTTTCTCAGGAATCTGCTTTCCTTCAAGGCTGACCTCTGGTCTGGTATTGATAAGGTAGACAATTATATTCCTATAAAGTCCTGTGACATCTTAAAAGCTGTTTTCTCTCAAGAGGTGCAGATAAGGTTGACAACTGTGTTCCTGTGAACAGGGTCCTATGACATCCTGGAATTCCTGATATCTGTTTTTCTGTCAAGGTTAAACTGTAAACTGTCACTGAGTAACTGCCTTTGTCCTGTTTTGCCCCAACCCCTTGGACAGAATGTATAAAAACTGGAGCTCTTCCTTTGTTCAGGGCTCAGCCCTTTGGACAGGAGTCCAGCTGTAAAATAAAATCCTCCTGTTTCCCAGTGGTCTCTCCTGTCTCTTGGATTATGCAATAATAGTACAAGTAACAACATGGGGCAATTACCTACCAAGCTGCACATTATAGTCCAGATATCAGAGTAAATTTTGAGGATTTGTAATCAATCAAATGTTAAATTTGGGAGCCCGGGGCCAGGGATTTAGCTCAGTGGTGCTGCCACCTGCCTTGAAAGCAGAAGGTCCCGAGTTCAATCCCTGGTACCAAAAAAGAAAAAAAAAATTGGGGAGCCTGAGAAAGATCAGTGGTTGTCTAGGACCTGGAAGTGTGGTTAAGGGGTGGAGTAAAGATGGCTTGTAATTACAGGTTTTCTTTTTTTGTGACAAAAATATTTTAAAATTGCATTGGGCTGATGACTGTACAACCCTGTGAATTTTAAGTTATGTGGATTAACTACCAGTTTTAACAACCTGGTAGTCTCCCAGTCTAGACTTGGGCCTAGCTCAGCTGCTGGCCACTCATTCTTTGATTTGTTCATCCCATTATTATGACATGTTAAAGAGATTAAGGTGGAAAAGACAGGGTCTCTGATGTTTAGAAGTTCTCAGTTTAGCCGAGGATTTAGCTCAGTGGTTCCACCGCCTGCCTCACAAGCACAAGGACCTGAGTTCGATCCCCGGTACCAAAAAAAAAAAGAAGTTCTCAGTTTAGTAGGGAAGAAAGATGTATAAGAAAATTACAATTCAGTGTGCTAAGCATAGTATTTGCTCAAAAAGAGAAAGAATGAACAATAAAGAGGTAGGTGACTGGGAAATGCTATTGGACTTGAGAGAACGGGGTTGTTCAGGTTCAAGGCAGGAAAAATGGAGGGGGAGGATGCAAGAGTCTAAAGAGTTCATGATCACTGGAGATTACAGTGTTTGGAGGAACCATCAGGGCTCAGTCTAGATGCCTCTGGAGCAATGTAGATGAGAAGAAAATGCTGGGCTCCAGCTCTTCCCCGGCTCATTCTCAGAGCAATTCTAATTCTGAAAAGGAAAAGGGCTGGTCTGTGTTGCTTAAGATAAAATTTTAGCGGTGGGGACTTAGCTCAGCGGCAATGAACCTGCGCCTGCCTTGTGAGCGCAGGGTCCTAAATTCAATCCCCACTATGGGGGGAGGGGTGATAAAATTTTAAACCAAGCATGGTGGCACACACCTGTAATCCCAGCACTCAGGAGGCTGAGGCAGGAGGATTGCTTTGAGTTTGAGGTCAGCCTGGACTACACAGTGAGTCCAAGGCCAGCCTGAATTACATAGTGAGACCCTGTCTGAAAAAAAAAAAATCTGGTATCAGTGAAATAGTAAGACAAAAGCCAAGCTGCAGTGGGTTGAACAGTGAAGGGGAAATGAATAAATGCAGGCAGTGACTGCAGCCTCCTCATTCAAGAAACGTGCACGGAAGAAGATAGTATCCAGTTCAACAAGGGCCCTTTAAATTATCAGATGTAACTGGAGTTCATGGAGGACATACACATGAAAGCCATAAGTCTAAGATTATTAGGATTTTTTTTTGGTATTTTGAGACAGGGTTTCGCTATGTAATTCAGGCTGGGCTTGAACTCACTATGTGGTCCAGGCTGGCCTTGAACTTGTGGCAATCCTCCTGCCTCAGCCTCCTGAGTGCTGAGATTACAAGTGTGCACCACTACAGCCAGAAGATTATTGAGAATTAATATAAATAAAGAGGTCAAGGGCAGTGCCTGGGCACCCTTGTGTTCAGAGGTCAAAGTGATGGGGACACAAACAGTACAAATCACTTTGTAAAATATAAATACTACATTAAAATCTGACAGTTCTTTATGGGAAAAAAAAGCAACACATACATCTGAAACAAGCTAAGAGTGAGAAAAGCAAATCTAATACAGAACTAAAAGAATTAGAAACCAGAATTTATCAGGCCCTAAAAAGAATCAGTAACAGAACAAGATCTGATTTTTTAAAAGGACAATTGGTACAAAAGCAATTTATTGAATAGAAAGCCCAAATAACCAAAAATATACACATAATATATACATATATAACCAATGTATACATAGATATATAAATATATGCACATATATTTATCCTCACTACTTTTTATGAAAAACTTAAGGTAACATAATATGTACCATTTTGAGTTCATTTGCACAAGAAGAAAAATTTAATAATTCAAGATCAAATATTAGCAAGGATGTAGAATGAATAGAACACATATGCTGTTTGTGAATATAGTGAACATACAATTTGGAGAGCAACTCGGCAATATCTTGTAAGAGTGAAACAATTCCTATAACCGTGCAATTCTGCTTCTGGGTATAGTCATTGAAGCATCATCTGTATTACTAAAAGTTTGAATACACCTCAATGTCTAATTTCATCAAAACAAGAATGAATAAAGTGGATAATTCATATAATAAAACACAAATAAGCAGCTGAAAATTAACAACCTTTCTAACTGTGATTAAGTCCAGATTAGTCCTCCCACCAGGACTCATGATAAAAATGGACAAAATTTATAAGGTAACTACTTTCGGGAAGAAGACAACAGGAAGCACGAGACTGTGATCCCTAAGAGAAAGAAAACTCCTGAGGTTAGCCCCAAATAACTCAGTTCCTCCATCTACCTAGGAACAATTGATTTCCCAACAATAGTGCAAAGAACTGGAGTCCGAGAAAAGTAGGACAATCCTACTGGGCGTAGGAGGCAGAGATCACACCCGGAGACAGCTGAAATGGTTGGATCACAGGGCAGAGAAAGGAAAAGGAGGGTACCATCCAGAGAGGGGGTTCCTGAAGTCTGTGGGTGATGTGACTCTGTGGCTGGAGACTAAAGTGTGGTTAATTTTATGTGTCAACTTGACTGGGCAACGGAGTGTCCAGATATTTGGTTAAAGATTATTTCTGGGTGTGTCTTTGAAGTTTCGTTTTTTTTTTTTTTGAGACAAGGTCACCCTGTAGTTCAGGTTGGCCTCAAACTCATGGTGGTCCTCTTGCCTCAGCCTCTCAAGTGCTGGGACTACAGGCATGTGCCACTATACCTGGCTTGTGAAGGTATTTCTGGATGAGGTGTTCTGGACTTGAATTGGTAGACAGAGTAAAACATTGCCCTGCCCAGTGAGGGTGCTCTTCAACCAGTCCCATGAAAGGCTGAATAGAACAAAAGGCTAATTAAGAATTTCTCCCTCTTCCTCAATGTCTTCCAGCTGGGACATAAGTCTTCTCTTCAGACTAGAGCTAGAACTCATGGCCCTGGCTCTCCTGCCTCTCAGACCTTTGGACTCAGAATAGAGCAACATCACTGGCTCTCCTAGTCTCCAACTTGCCAACTGTGGATCTTGACCTCACAGCCTCCATAACCATGTGAACCCATCCATTCCTTACGATAATCTCTCTCAGTACAGATCCATTTCATGAACTGTGTAGGCACAGAGGGGCATATCTGAGGCTTACCAGAAAGCAGGGGCCACAGAGCTGTAATTTGAGAAAAGATCCTTTGGCTAGAACTGCCATCTTTCAGTAATAAGGCAAAAGGACAAACACACACACACACACACACACACGCATAGAGTGATGAACATAAGGAAGAGAGGACTCTGGTATATGTTCTCTAGGCCTTTTAGAAAACATGGGGTTGTTCCTTTAGGCACATATGTGAGAATCTACAAAAAGGATGACATTGTAGACACCAAGGGAATGAATGGGTACTGTTCAAAAAGGAATGCCACACAAATGTTACCATGGCAAACTGGAAGAGTCTACAGTGTTATCCAGCATGCTCTTGCCATTGTTGGAAACAAGCGAGTT